AGTGAAGCCCTTTTCCCTCTACATTCTCAACATAGTCTCTGTCAGAAGTGTTTGGCTTGTGTTGGGTCCGACTTGGCCCGGGAGGTCAAAATCAACTTTAAACACACAGATGTATCTTCAAATGTGTTTACATCTTTGGATTAGTGTTATATCTACCTATATACCACTTTATAATGTCACGGTTCATCGTATTTAAAGAAAACAAGGGGCTCAAAGTGAAGCATTTTTACTGTATTTTCTTAAGAAAATCTATGTCAGAAGTGTTGGGTCCGACTTGGCCCGGGCTGTCAAAATCAACTTTAACCGCGAAGATGTATCATCAAATGGATTCACATCTATAGATTAGTATTATATCTACCGAAATACCACTTTATAGTCTCTCAGATCACTGTACTTAAAGAAAACAAGGTGCTCAAATTGAAGCCCTTTTAAACGCCGCACTCAGCCATATTCCAGCTATATGACGGCGGTCTGTAAATAAACGAGTCTGGACCAGACAATCCAGTAATTATTATCATGAGCATCGATCCACGCAAATGGGATCTATGACATGCATCAACCAAGTCTGCGAGTCTGACCACCCGATCCCGTTAGTCGCCTCTTATGGAAAGCATAGTCGCCTTTTACGGCAAGCATGGGTTACTGAAGACCTATTCTACCCCGGATCTTCACGTGTATAGTTATCAGACGTAAATTTTGGTATAATTAATGACTGTTTACGTATTGTTACAGTATGCTATTTTAACATTGCATAAAAAAGTACCACTATCGATTCTTTTAACGTCGTAAATTGGACGGCGTTATTGACCTTTTTCACACTTTCGCCATCTTGGATCGAATTACAATGTTAATCATGAAAATAATTCTTGTGTCAAAATAAATATTCAGAAGGGGAGATAACTCTATTCAGTGTGTACAATGACAGATGATACTTTACTTGTTCTTCAAACATCACTTACTTAACTGATTATTGCTGATTGAGATTGCACCGTGCACGACAAAAGTAATAATGTGTGAACTGTTGAAAATAAGTTAAAAGGAAACTAAAAATTGATAAATATAAATAATGCATGAAATTGAAGAAATATAAGAATTGATACAACTATCAACTTCTTGAACACCCTCACCTAATCCTGTATGATGATAGGTAATTGTATATCAAAAGGAAGCTACTAATACATTTATCCTGAATAGTTTGAAAATGTCTTGATCAGATATGAGTACAGATAAAATAACAAAAGATAAAAAGGAATCAACTTCAATTGGTAATCAAGCCAAGATAAAATATATGTATCGGTACAAATTATGTTGATGGAACAATCTGGATTTCTCATATTTAACAAAGAAAAACAAACCAAAATTTTCATATCTTTATTTCTCACAATATAAGTTTTCAAAACTTAGCATGGACTGGGTGTCTTTGTCAGTCAAAAGCACCTAATTAAATTCCAGGAGAAATAATTTTCTTGCTTGTAAACCAATGGTACAATGTGCTTTTTTAGTGTCTGATAAATAATGGCCATGTTGTTTTGTGAGTGAATAACGCTTTTCACTTCCTCGTCCTATTTAAGTCAAATGTGACAGGAAGCACATTTGTTGACAGGACGCACATTGTAACCATTGTGTTACTGTCAGCAGAAAGCTCCTCCAGACATCCGTCACCCGAATACTAGTACTTCATTGTGTTGAGTCGCTGGCCTGAAATGAATAATTCAATAATATTGTAATAATATTCCTACTTCAATAACATTTTTTATAAACAATGCTTATTCACCTTCTCTCAAAATATTGCTTATTTAGAAAAAAACATTCTTCTGAAATAGAGAAGTTTAAGGAAAATTAATCACAGTGTGTAACATTACATGCTACTTTAGAACAATCTTGAAGGCATAAATTCATCTGATATGTCTAAAACTCAAACAGTATTTTCTGTGTAAACAGTAAACTCAACAGATACATCAATTTAATGACAGTGTACTACAGTTCTTTATATCAATGTCACACAGAAATTCACTCTTGTTTTAATGAAACACGTTTTGATATTTGTATTATGTATTTAATCATGAAATACTTTGTTTAGTCTGACCATGCTGAAAACATACTTTCGCCAGAGTGAAATAAATAAGATTTTTATTAAAATCAGGTGAAATATCACGTTTTGTCACACCTACAGTCAGTCTGCCTCATTGACACTATGGTTTTCTGAGTAAGGTCAAGAAGATCACAAAGAAAATATAAGCCTTGAATTTATTTTGTCAAATGCAATGTTTATCTCTTCATGTTGTTTACTAAAGTTGATATCTTGAATTGATAATATTAACTTTGTCAGATCACAAGATGAGATATTATTAAACATATTTTATTGTCCAAAAAGACAAAGGGATTGGGCACAAGGGCAGCACTTATTACCACCTTCTCCCTATATACAGTTATACATAATATTGCATAATGAAAATGAACAATTTACAGTTGAAGCTTCACATTGTGGAAACATAGTGCGCAATATATATACAGTGCTCATATGAAGGATATGTACAATGTGCTGGAAAGTGAAGACAGTGTGCATCTCATACATATCCCAATACCGTATTCGACGTAATAAGCGCTCCACTCTAATAAGCGCCCATGGCGGTTTTTGCTAATATATTGGCTAGTGAACAATCCTAATTAGCACCCCTTCCGATTGATCAATGTTCACAAGACTTATTTATTTGCGTACAATACGCACTCGTGTTATATGCACCCTTAATTATGGGCAATTAAATTCTAGAATAATATATCTGACGTACATAAACATTTCAGCATAAACCACAAAATTTATCTTTCAACTCTGTTTTTTTTTCACGAAAATAATATTCCAATCAGAGCCCCCTATTTTTAATTTCGAGAGCGCTCTGGGCGCTTATTACGTCGAATACGGTATTATACATTTTAGTGTTGAATATAGATTTAACAATATTAATGATTAACAGTTTGGAAACAATAATATGCTAGCTACTGAATCTGTTTGTCGTTTCTATAAATTTGTGTACAGACAAGAATATTTTTGTATTCAGGAAAACATCTAAGTTTGTCCTCCAAGATTTGTCCTCCAAGATTATCGATAGCTGTCAGTAATGTATCCCTAAAATCATCATATAAGGTACATTCGAAGAAGAAATGGAATGAATTTTCACAAGGAGCATGCTATACAAGGAGCATGAGATAAATTCATGCTATCATCGTTATTTGACAAGGAAAACAAATTTCTTATATGTATTTATATTTTTTTATTTTTCTCGTTTTGATTGAATTATAAAAAAATATCAAAATAATCACACCACTTGACTTGATTGAAATAAACTAAAGTTCTAAAGATTGTTAGCAATAGTAAAATATTACATCATAACAATATAATTATTGCAAAATGACACAGTAAGCACAACTATATTCTTACATATAAATTGATATGATTAATAATCAATAATACATGGCAAAAGTTTCAAAACATGTTTGTGGACATAAAACCAGATGGGTTTCACAATTAAACAAAGGGAATAAATGAGTTATGATTGCAATACTCATGGGAATTAAAACTAATTCTGTTTATACTTTAAGTTTTTATTAATGTCAATATCAATTTATGCATTTGAAATATTTGAATACGAACTGTTAAAGAGTTATCTGTTTCTGTAAATTATATAAAGATCACATGTAGATTGAACATTTACTGGACATTAATTAGTTGGGTTTTTGTTCATTTCATGACATGATTAAATTGGTACAGTAAAGTAAATATCATTTTGGTAGAAATATTAATTGTTACCAAAATTGCAGATCCAACTGTACTTTACTTCAAATATTTACACACCCTTTATGTAATAATTCAGTTGAAATATTACACCTTATTGTGAGAATATTGCGGGAATTACCAAATTTAATCCCGCTTGTTCATAAAATTTGACTTGTCCGACATTGCCGCGGACGGATTCTGTTCAGGGAGTCATCATTATTTAAATACGGGTAAATATTTTGAAAGCAGGTACTTTAAAAATTGTACTTACATCCTTAAAGAGTGAGTAGGGGCGGTCGGGTAGCCTAGTGGTTAAAGCGTTCGCTCATCACGCCAAAGACCCGGGTTCGATTCCCGACATGGGTACAATGTGTGAAGCCCATTTCTGGTGTTCCCCGCCTTGATATTGCTGGAATATTGCTCAAAAGCGGCGTAAAACATACTCACTCACCCACTCACTAAAGAGTGAGTATGGTTTTCCGCCGCTTTTAGCAATATTCCATCAATATCACAACGGGGGACACCAAGATAAACGCGATGGCTCAACGATCGCATCCAAAGGTGGGAGAGGCATGACAGTCGATATTGGGAGAAAAGGTACAGGTAGCCTAATCCACGTAAGAATTGTGAGAATATCTGGGAAATTCGTCATCATCGTCAGCATTATTATTATTATTATTGTTGTTGTTATGATACCATTACGTTCCGATCACACATTCCGTGAAGATCCGGGGTAGAATAGGTCTTCAGCAAACCATGCTTACCGTAAAAGGGGACTATGCTTGTCGTCAGAGGCGACTAACGGGATCGGGTGGTCAGGCTCGCTGACTTGGTTGATGCATGTCATCGTTTCCCAATTGCGTGGATCGATGCTCACGATATTAATCACTGGCCCAGACTCGATTATTTACAGACCGCCGTCATATAGCTGGAATATTGCCGAGTGCGGCGTAAAACAACAAACCAACCAACCAATTTAACCGATCACACATTCACAGATTAAGAGTAATTCAAGTACTCTTAAAAATTGTTAGTTTACAATCATTTATCCTTATACCGCATGGTTGTATCGCTTATTTTCTAATCTATTTATTTAACCATTGGCTTGTTTTCATGGAACGTCTATTCACTGAATCATTTATTCATAAATACTCGCGTTTTTCGGATTGTTTGAACTCTTCCGTTCTTCTTTCCGATTTGCGGTAGCAGTTACCTCCCTTGGTTATCTCGGAGTTTTGCCCGACATAATCCGGGCTGTCGTGTCGTGAAGTAAAATGGCGGATGGGACACAACTGTAGTAAGGTCAAATACACATAACAGCCCGCAGACCACATTGGGGGTTATCAGACGATATCAAGAACATAGAGTAAGCTCCTTTGTTAGTCAGAGTCATCGTTTGTTTAATTTTCAAGTCGTTTTGTGTTGTAAATATTGATAATTTGGTTGTTTCAAGCGATGGTCCTAGCATATTCAGGTCGCTTCTCGGAATTTCGTAGCGGCGGAGAGTGATATAGTTTAGAAGGTGTGAGTGTTCTGCGAGTAGATCTTTGGCATTGGTAGTGACAATGTATGGGGGAGTGCGATGTCGACATAGAGAATGCTAAAATAGCATGTGACACTATCATATATTTTTAAAGCCTTTATTTTTCCTTTTATTAATAATAAGTTGGACGAATTCCTTGTTATTTTGAAAAATATAAAACATATTCCTGATTAATATGAGGGACCTGTCATTTATTTATATAGTGGGTTGGGTCGGGGGGGGGGGGGGGGGTGGGTCAGGAAAGGGTCACACATAAATATGAATCTCCGGGGGACGGTCATAAAAAGTAATGGTAAAATATTGTACGTATTTGGGGAGACTGTCATTACACGATGGACATTTTATAATGAATTAGAAAGTGCTTTTGCAATTTATCTTTTCAGAAGGGTCATGAAAAAAATGTACAAGGACATGGAAAGAGTCAACCAAAAATATGAACAGCTTTGGGGGAGGGTCATTATGTAGAAGGGAATGTCAGAGAAACACCCCATTCCTTAAAAATAATGGAGCCAAGACCCATTATTTTTAAGGAATGGAGAGTTACAAGCATATTCCCCAACTTAAAACACATCCTACTTGTACACTTTGACAAAACATTCTCTTGTGGAAAATATTTTTAAAAAAGAACTCTGTATTTGTAGACTGTATTTATGCTGCGTGAGTGGCCCTTGCTTTCTGCACGGCGCATACGTTTTCATGCAGCCACCGTTGCATGTGCACAGAGCTCCGTAATTTCTTGGGGTCCTATACTAGTATTTTATCAATCTCTTGACCTTTGTAAATACATGCCGACGGGTATTATTGGAAATATAGAGCCCTGAACAAGGATACCTATCGAAATGTGTTTTACTTGATTTATTTTTCTTGTCAAAGGTTTGTCAAATTACTTCAAATATGAACATTGCTTTAGGGAACCTAGGGCTCAGGTTAATGCCATCAAATCAAACAATGTGGGTTTGATCCCTGCTGGCTACACATTTTCTGACAAAATTTGAAATCATTCACCTGTCAAAATATTTAAAAAAATAGTTCTGTCTATTCCAAGTGTAAATTTATTGAAATGTTGGTTCAAGATATGTATCATTGACAATCATCCGTACATTCCTGATTGGTGATAGGGGAAAAAGAGTTATGTGTAAAATAAAATAAAGAAAGTATCAAATAAAATTATGTAAAGCATAATAGGTAAACATCTGCTTCTGCATAATGATAAGACCTGTGAAGATCCGGGGTAGAATAGGCCTTCAGCAGCCCATGCTTGCCATTAAAGGCGACAAAGCTTGTCGTAAGAGGCGACTAATTGGAGTTAAGATCGTATTAGCACTACACTCAGCTTGTAGATGGGGCCTTACGTGAAAAGAAGATCATATGGTTTTATGTCAGCTGTCCTCAAAGTTACGACTAAAATGGTCGCCAATGCGACCTAAATATAAATTTGTCTGCTGTCTAAAATTCAGATGTAGCCAAATGACTACCTTGAAAAATATCTTGTGGCAACTAAATCCGATTGCTACACATATGTAGACACAAAAATAATTATGTCTGCTACTAATTGTACTCGCAAATAATTCCTCCTAAAGTCAACAATGAACTGAAAAACATGAATATTTATGTAATTAGTATTTTATTTTAGTTGATACTTTATTGGATAAGCAAGGATATACCTATGTATTCTAGTATCATAAATTGCATCATTGTTCGAGGCACAAATAACAAAACTCAAGTACAGTTTCCACTAATATACAATTCCAAGGCTAGTGCTATGCCTTGTATATGTAGTAGTTATTTGATAAAAGATTCAAATTTTGGCTACCTACAATATTGGCTTGACTTCTTGATTTTACCACTGGCTACCTGGAAAAAACTACCGTCAATCTATAACGAATTTGACTTTTAACGAGTCAAAGTATGGCATTTATGATACATGTATCCATTCTCTGTCAACTAAAGTTCATTTAAAGGCGTCAATAGCGGTAATCTGACCGTGGTTGCTGTTAATATCGGTGAGTTGTGCGATCTTCCGATCGCTTCACATACGATTTTGCCGAAATTAATTAAAACAATATTAAAAGGAATAAAAAAAAATTGAATAAAATTAATGAAATAAGTTACAAACATAAATCCAGATGTACAAAGAACACTTTTTATAGCCAGACAGTGTAAATTTTGATTAAAGTGATTAATTTACATACCTCAGTATGGATTTGTTGACATGGTATTTTCGGTGTTACGTGCTCACGGTAATGTCTTTCCATGGGGGGGGGAAAACATCAAAACTCATTATTCCGTGTATAATGCACACACCCCTCTACACAGCTGTGGGGTTTTTTTAATTTAAAAGTGCGGACTATACAAAAGAAAATACAGTACTTGTAGCCATATGCCTACGTGGTAAAAAAATAAACTTTGAGGCCTGTGTCATGTTAATGTTTCAGAACTCAAGCATAATGGAAGAAGCCCTGGCGTCCGTACCGATACCCCACACCGTCACGGTGACTATAGATGCATGCCAGCAGATCGTCACCCCACCCATACAAGTACAGCTCCCTTGTGAAGTGTGCGGAAAAACATTTGGCAAAAAGTTCCAGCTCAACCGCCACATGAAACTACACACGGACGACAAGCCACACAAATGTGATTTCTGTGACAAAGCTTTTTTCTACGCGAGCAACCTCAACCAACACCGACGTTCACACACAGGTGAGAAGCCCTACAACTGTGGAGAATGTGGGAAAAGGTTCGCCAAACTCAGCGGTCTGAAGAATCATATTTTCACCCACACTGGTCAGATGGCCAGTGGAAGCGGTCAAGGGAATGTACCAAAGAAAGAATTCACCTGTAACGTGTGTGGAAGGTCATTTCCGCAGAAATACCAAATGAAGCGCCACCTTGACATGCACATGGCAGGGAGGTCAGAGAGGTCGTATAAGTGTCGTGTGTGTGGAGACGTAGCTCCAAACTATCACGCTTTCATTGCACATACAAACGTTCATCTGGTGCCACCGAGCGCCAACCCTGCGAGGAAGGAAGGAAAGTGGTGCTCCATCTGTGAGAGGAATATTTCCGATTCTGAACTCGTGGACAATAAATGTGAAACATGTGGCAAGAAAAAAATCACGAATGTAACATGGAAGACTGTTTAAGTCGAGACTCGCATCGGAACTGAAACAGTCCGATCAAAGCATGGCTTGTTGAATATTTGCAGGGAGAACGCCTGTAATTGATTCATTCCTCAGGTGATTTTGATGGAAGCATTCTTTATGTGAAATTTAGAAACTGTATTCACTCTATTTAATGCCCAGGAATCTGTTAAATTTGCAGAAGCCATTGACCCAATATCTGTTCTGTTTAATGCTGACACAGTGCAACTCACTATCTTACCAAATCTCGTATTCTACTGTCACACAAGGGGAAAACGTCATAGTTCCGTGAGGGGAGTAATCACTGCATGCTGTGAGTCAATGTGATAGGGGTTAGGTCTATCAAATGATGGACCTGGCTTCTAAAAGAGAAAAGTTGAAACTTTCAACGCAAGATTTTCTGTAGTCAAGACATCAGATTTTGAGTGTCTGAATAATCATTCAGTCCAACAGATACACAGAGAAATACATATGATGAATTCTGATCACAGTGGTGATAGCATAGTATGATGGAAGTGTTACTATGGTTACTGAGTGAATATCTGAACTCTGCATCGGAAGTGTAGTACTCATTTATACGTACAGAAGTATTGTAGTGCGGAATATTTCGAATGGAGTCTTTCAACAGTGTTTCTAATTTTCCATATGGCACATGTACAAATATTTATATATATTTATATATATATATATATATATAGGGGTGAAACGATACATCGGTGCACCGCTGCGCGATACTTTTAGTTTCTGTATCAATACAAGACACTTGCTCAAATAGATTACTTACCTGCTTACTACTCGTGTAATGTCACTCTTCCCTAGCTTTTTTGTTTGCCAGATATTGCAAAATGTGTTGTTATTAGCACTTCAAGTTCACTAACCGCTAACAGAAATAGCTGCTATGAACATGTGTCTACAGCTAGCTTTACATTTTGAACCAGCTCTGAAATATTAAAAGTCAAGAAGTTTCCAAGCGATTTGACGTAAATATGGGTATCGCGATACGTATCGTACCGTGACCTATGTATCGTGGTACTATTATATCATGACCTTGCTGCATCGTTTCACCCTAATATGATATACTTGTGTGAAACACAAAAGAAGAAGAATGTAGTACAACCAATGAAATAATTACCGAATCTTGATAATCACTGAGTGTCCAAAACTTCTTCAATACAGGGATGAGAATTTTCCTCAGATTTTGTTGTGTCAAGGGTAACTTTCATTATACATGCCATTAGTGATTACAGTGTACGCCTGTACGGCATCATATTCCCTTGATCCCTGACCAACTTTTCAGATTTTTTGGTTATATAAGAAATACATTCTTATCTCTGACAGATACTGTTGTCCTAATTACTATTTGCATAGTACTATGAGGTTTGACGTAAGGTATAAATTTGTTATAAATGGTATTTTCGATTTATCAACTCAAAAATGTGATATGTCGATATAATAAAATTGTTCTTTTTGTACAGAGCTGCAATTAATCGGTTTAATGCTAAACATGAACTTAATTATATGTTTAAATTGAATTTTCTGCCTTTTCATTGTTCATCCTTATCATGGTGATATTAGATGTAAACACTCCAGTGGCAGTGAGTTTTCAATTTAGTATTGCTATTCATCAATTGTATCGATTTGATACAGTATCAACATTTAAATATATATATCAATGATGATACACCATGAAAAATTGATGACAGACTGTGGACTTGAAGTGATCAGGTGACTATGAGGCATTATTTGATATTTTAGAAACAATAAACAATATCATTTGTTGCATGAGCATTTTCAAAATGGCAGTTTTCCGAACATCTTTTTATCTGGGTGTGTGATTATGACTGAATTTTTGTTTGATGTCTAATGCCGCATTCAGCAATTTTTCAGCTATATGATGGTGGTCTGTAAATAATCGAGTCTGGACCAGACAACCCAGTGTTTGACATCATGAGCATCGATCCACGCAATTGGGATACGACGCATCAACCAAGTCAGTGAGTCTGACCACCCGATCCCATTAGTCGCCTCTTACGACAAGCATAAATGCCTTTTATGACAAACATGGGTTGCTTAAGACCTATTCTAACCCAGATCTTCATGGGTTGAAGTGATAGAATGTAATTTAATGACAGTCTCTCACTAACCTGCAGTGTCAGAAATATTCCTGCCATAAGGGGCGGTTTGGTAGCCTAGTGGTTAAAGCGTTCGCTTGTCACAACGAAGGCCTGGGTTTGATTCCCCACATGGGTACAATGTGTGAAGCCTATTTCTGGTGTTCCCACTGTGATGTTCCTGGAATATTGCTAAAATAGATGTAAAACTATAGTCCACACTCAAACTCACTCACTGATATTCCAGCCACATACATAGTGAGGTCTGGACAAAACAAACCTGTCACAGAAATAATGAGCAACGATCAAAACCATCGTGGCATATCACAATCAAAATGACAATGAACCCGTGAAGATCCAGGATTGGATAGGTCTTCAGCAACCCATGCGTGCCGTAAAAGGCAAGGTGAGATGCACGGTTTCAAAAAAGCAATTTGCGAAGACGATTGTATCTCCTTCTTTAACACACACTTGAAGACAGTCACAGCACCGACATCACTTCATCACGTGACAATCTGGGGTAGAGAATAGGTCTTCAGCAACCCATGCTTGCCATAACAGGGGACTATGCTTGTCATAAGAGGCGACTAACGGGATCGGGGGGTTAGGCTCACTGACTTGGTTGATGCATGTCAACGATCCCAATTGCGTGGATCGATGCTCATGATGTAAGTCACTGGATTGTCTGGTCCAACCTCGATTATTTACAGACCGCCGTCATATAGCTGGAATATTGCTAAGTGCGGCGTTAAACATCAAACAAAACATGTTTTTTGAGGTTGAAAGCTGGAATCGGGTTGTATCCAGTCAGTACCATCATGCATCTGTATAGTTCTCCATTCAACGAGGTTAATCAAAGTCATGTATGAGGATATGACATTCATATCCATTAGCTGCTCAGTGGTACTACCCAAATATTTATGTTACACTTGCATGTTATATTCCTCATCGGTCATTTTGGCAGTATTTTGTCAGCATGAAATATAAATTCAACAATGACAACAAATTACAATGTATATCGTGTTTGTTTTGATTTGTCTTTCCTGGATGAAAGTTTACCCTGACAAGAAGTTCTCATTTGGGGTGAGTGAGTATGATATAATCCACTCTCTGCAATATTCCAACCGTATAACGGCAGGGATAAAAGATGTCTGCGACTGGGCTCCATCTAAGCGCAAACGGTCGTAGCTAAAACAATTGTCAACTTGTTGCGTGGTGATTCACGTATTCTTCCACCATATATCATATTTATTCCAGATGCTATTGAAAACACATTAGGACTTACAGTATTTATCCAGTAGGATTGAACACATTTAACTGTATCTTGGGTATATTTTTAATGCAAGACATGTAAAATCAAAAATTATTTCTGAGGGATTCTTTGACCGAAATACTTGTAGTCATACACGCATTCTGATTGGATGTCATATTTTTTAACATAATCATCATGATCATCAATAGGGGGGACGGAAAGGGGCGAGAAGTGACGAATGCAGATAACTTATTTGGAGATGAAGGGGAGACAACTCCTACTAACCAAGTGCAGCTCCACAATGGCAGCAGTTTCTCAATGCTGGAGCCAGGGATCCCAGGAATGGTTAAAGGAAGGAGCTTGTTTCATCATTCAGTCAAAAGGGAGAAATGAAAAGTTCAGGTTTCCATAAGGCCATACATAACAAATTAAAATATTTCCTTGCACACTCACCTCATAGAAAGGCCCAGCCTTCACATGACATAACTTGTTGTCCCCAAGTAATCATGGTAATAGTTTATTATCCCCCGCCACGAAGTGGAAGGGGGATATAGGAATGGGTGCCGTCCTTCCGTCCGTCCGTCACATTTCGTTTCCGGAGCAGATCTTGAAAACTGTACCATATTTCTTCACCAAACTTGGCACATACATAGGTCTAGTGGTGAACTGGTGTCTTTTGATAGTTTGGAGTTTTTAAAAACATGGGTGCCGTCCGTCCTTCCGTCTGTCCGTCACATTTCGTTTCTGAAGCAGATCTTGAAAACCGTACCATATTTCTTCTTTTTTTAGTGCTGCAATTAGGCCATTTACAAAAAGGCCCAGTGAACATAGTTCACAGGGTCTAATGCATTGCACACAGCCAGACATGTCATATTTGTGGGGGATATGAGTATTTCATGTTTGTTTGTATTGCACTTTTCTATGCTGGATATCATTCTCATAACACACTTATTTGCCTGGTCAAATTGGGTCAGTGTGTTCTCAACTTTCATTCTCCACTCCTTGGCTATCATCCAGTCCAAGATGCCTGGGAGCACGGGTGGCCCAGTCTTCCACAGTGCCGTGATTATCTGTGCAGAGCATCCCTTGGGCACGCCAGAAACCTACAATTGTGGGTTTGATTCCATGTCAGCACCATATCCATGCTCGTTGGTTTCACTGAAGTGGTTAACGTCTGAGACCTGCATCACTTCTGTATCAAGTACTGGTATGGTGCTGACAAACCTAGAAACATAATCGGGGCGAACCGGGATTCGAACTCACAATCATAAGTTTCTGGCATGCCCAAGGGACACACAGCGAATCGTGGTACCTTAGACGACTGGCCCACCCGTGCCCTCTTGATGCTCATGATGTCATTCACTGGATTGTCTGGTCCAGACTCGATTATTTACAGACCGCCGTCATATGGCTTGAATATTCCTGAGTACGCCGTTAAACAACAAACATCATCATGAGATGCAAGGAGGAGAAGGCACCTCTAATGACAAGCACAGGTTACTGGGGGCTTGTCTCTACCCCATACTTCCCACATTACAGTGTGGCTTGACATTTACATGTGTGTAATACTCCTGGCTTACAGTCAAGCCGTATATCAGTCGTTGACATAATGATGATGAAATCCCCATCTGTGTACATAGTCAAAATGTCACAACAAATGACATAAGACCCGTGAAGATCTGGGGTAGAATAGGTCTCCAGCAACCCATGCTTGCCGTAAAGGTGACTATGCTTGTTGTGAGAGACAACTAACAGCATTGGGTGATCCGCCCGCTGACTTGATTGACGCATGTCATCATATCCCAATAGCATAGATCCATGCTCATGATGTCAATCACTGATTTGTCTGGTCCAGACTTAATTATTTACAGACCGCCGTGATATAGCTGGAATTTTGCTGAGTGCGGCGTTAAACAACAAACAAACAAATGACACAAACACATCAAATATTGTAAGTATTTATTTTGGTTGGGTTCTCTGCCCATTATAACCATGACTTACAATATAACAAATACATAAAATAATATCTCTGTATATATTTGACAATATTGCATATCGGTGAGTAACTATATTTCTTTGCAGGGACAGAATCTCAGTCCACAAGGTGACTTCCACATCTCGTTCATCTTGTGTTCATTTCTATAAAGGTCATTAACCTTGACTTTCAGTGAAATAAATAGAAACCCAGGCTTTCATGTTTACAGACTCAAAACTCAAGCTTTTTATGGACCATTATCACATTTCAAGGAAATTTCATTACCTTTAAGCAATGACAACTGCTGGAATTTTTGACATACATATATTGAAAAAAGAATTGGCGATCATGAATATGTTTGGGATATTTGTATGAAATTGTGCACTGTATTCACTACAAAAACATATCCCAATAATATTCATGATCCCTAACTTTGTTTGTTCAGTATACATTCAAAAATTCAATACATAACAATTTTGCAATCGGAGAATTGTCAGTAAAGAACTGGAATTTCTTCAGTTAATAGGCATTTGATTTACTTCAGATGTGCCTGTTATTCAAGAACACTACAAGAAATTTCCATGGATGTCCAATACTTCAATGGACACCTCCAATATTTATAAGCACTGAAGCCAATTGAATTAGATCACTGATTAGATCACAAACCAGTGCAAAACCAGAGTGTTCTAATTAGGGTAATTGTGCTCTTTGGTATTTAGACATTAATGCTGTGGAAATCCCTGCAATGCAATTTGTCATTACAATTCCACATGTGGACTGCCTGTTCTGTCTCTGTACCCACGGTCTTCTCAAGCTCACAGCATCCTCACACACAAGCATCCTTCCGTAGAGTGAGTGAGTGAGTTGGGTTTAACGCCGCTTTTAACAGTATTCCAGTTATATCACGGCGTGTCAGCTTAATGTGGGAGGAAAGCCCGAAGTGATGCAGGTCTCAGACGTTTACCACTTCGGTGAACCCACGAGCACAGGTATGGTGCTGACAAACTTAGAAACATAATTAGGGCGAACCGGGATTTGAACCCACAATCATAGGTTTCTGGCGTGTCCAAGGGATGCAACTCTGCACAGCGAATCGCGGCGCCTTAGACGACTGGGCCACCCGTGCCCCCTTCCTTCTGTAGAGAGTACTACACAAAGCAGTTTATCCACACGCTCACTTCATGATGTGGACTTTAGATTTGATTTTCAAGGGGTGGGGGGGAAGGGCGTCAGGATTTTTTGGAAAAAAATAATGAAGCCTCTGTTTTACCGAAAATCAATCGTTTATACCTCGCATTAAAGGAACTACAATAATGTGTTCAAAAGAAAGTGTCAAAGTTCATTATTTTATATTTTAAAAATAATATTACAAGAGGACCTGTTAGAGTTGGAAAATATAATTGAGTTCCTAAACATCCAAAAGAAAATTCTGATCTCAAACTAAAACATTCTCCCCAACCCCCACCCCTAGTCTGTCATACAGACTCTGAAACAAATGTTTGGCAAGTCTAGATTACTGCAGTATCTGAAAATGAAGAAAGTCTCTGAGCTCCTTTTTATTACATTTTTAGTGTTATTATTTTTTTAAGATATATTCTTTTCAGAGACTAGATGATAGTCTACTCCACCCCTCTGAAATCAAATGGTTTCATCAAGGTGTGACTGGACAGCACAATGAAGACACTACTGGAACACTACTGAAGCAGCATGAGCTGGATATATGGTTTGTTTATGTATATATATATCGATATACTCCATCCACTGACAGGAACCAATGACAGCCCTGGATTATTTCGAAGTCGCTGCTCATTGTGGAAGGGAATGTAAGAAGTTGGAGAGGTGTGTCTCAATCTCAGAAAGGCAATGTCCGAGTTTAACTAATCCGTGTAGCGCTAACGCTGCATCTTAAATCTAATCTAGTGGATGACGATGATGGGGATTCATGCACCAGAGCTATAAGCAATGGGCAATATCTCGTAAGGGAATGACCCTCATATTCTGGTTGGGGTGGAGTCGGTTCTTTTTGAAAAAATAATCTCATTTGAACACATACATTTAGGGGGAAGACCAACCTTACTCAGACCATGGACATCTACCACTACACACTGACATGGCGCAGACAGTCCAAGGGTAATAATCACAATCAGTGGAACCAGGCGCAGGGAAGGGACACAACTCTGCAAAGCAGGATCCTGCACCATAAAGGGACACAACTGCACAGGACTCCTCTGCAGACCTCCCCCCTTATCACATGCAACGCTTCTGATGCTGCACTTTCTGACCTTTTCTATATTGGTATATCGACTCATGATGTATTGAGTCATGTGATGAATGAGTGCATAACACTCTAGATACTGTAGGAGCTGATCTTACTATGTTAGTCATGAACACTAAACTTATACTTGTATAATTCACACTTCGAAAAGAAGTAATTTTAAATAGATAATAGCTAATGAGTGAGTGAGGTTTAACGCTGCTTTTAACAGTATTCCAGTTATATCACGGCGTGTCCGCCTAATGTGGGAGGAAGGCGGAAGTGATGCAGGTCTCAGACGTTTACAACTTTGGTGAAACCCACGAGCACGGGTATGGTGCTGACAAACCTAGAAACATAATCGGGGCGAACCGGCATTCGAACCCACAACCATAGGTTTCTGGCGTGCCCAAGACACGCAACTCTGCACAGCGAATAGAAGCGCCTTAGACGACTGGGCCACCAGTGCCCCCTTAATAGCTTATGAATGGTTCATCGAAAAAATTATTTATTGTGGAGAAGAGGACTCGTGTAGCAAAAGCAAAGAGCTTGAAGTTTCACAAAGCATGCTCGTATACAATACCAAGTAGCATAGTGCGATATAACCATCTTCCCGACGCAAAAGTGTTAACTGACTTTTCCACCGAACTAGGCTGGAATTCCTGGGCTCGATCGTAGCGGCCCCAGTGGTTATTACGAGTTATGTCCCCTCTAAGCCTCTCCTATGGACCAATCAGATTCCACCTCTCATATCACTTGCATTTGCTTCAAACAAAACGGTGGTGCCCAGTCAAGACGATCTAATTGATAACCAAGATCTATATTGTGATAAAACAGGTCTTACATTGCAAAGTGCATCAAATCATGTGAGCACCTTGATCAAAACTATGAACAGATTTGGAAAATATCTCTTGAATATGAGTTGGCAGTGCACATCCTTTGCAAATCCTGCATTCGACCAAAATCTCCATGACAGTTTACGAACCAGATTTCGATTTCATTGCACGATTTTGATTGGACTATGCATAGACTCTTTAGTCCAGCCAAAATATAACTTCATAATACCAGCCTAGTTTGGCAAGGGTGGAAACTTGGACTTTTCTAGTCAGTTAACTCTCTTGCCTCGGGAAAATGTGATATAACTGGAAATAGTGATGGGTGGCTGGAACAGGGAAGATTAGTGTTCATGGTATAACTGATATATATATTGACTTGGTAGAACGATGTTCTGATACATGGACTATTTCTGTAAACTACCCTGTAGATAGTGAGTGGACTGTACTTTAAAAGGACAAAAACTGATTTACTGAACAGCAACCCTTGGAGGCTTCTACAAACATCAACACCAGGAATGACAACTCAGGAGCAACAATCTGAAACCTACAGCTTCACAAGGTCACTGCACGGGAAATATTGCTAGCATGGTGTTCCATGTTAATGCTGTTATTATGTTACTATTTTATTTCGATGACGACGTCAAGCCTTGTACCCTGGGTCTGTAAAGTGTACTGGCTCAGTCAACTTCAGATATAATACTGCCATTGGAACTGTTTTGTTTGTTTGTTTGTTTGTTCTTTGTTCGTTGTTAAACACCGCACTCAGCAATATTCCAGCTATATGACGGCGGTCTGCAAATAATTGATCCAGTGATTGACATCATGAGCATTGATCCATGAAATTGGGATACAACGACATGCATCAACCACCTTTGACCACCCAATTCTTTATCGCCTCTTACAACAAGCATAATCGCCTTTTACGGCAAGCATTGGTCCTGAAGACCTATTCTACCCCGGATCTTCATGGGTCAGAACTGTTTTAAATAGAGGTGTAATGACTCATCAATTCTATCCAAATGTGCACAGTAAACAGCCCCCTACTAAGTTTCACTGCATTTCTCATTTGTGTGTTGATTAGCTCCACACTCAGCAATATTCCAGCCAATCCAGTGATTGACATTGTGAGCAACAATCCACTCCGCCAGGGTATGATGACACCCAATCAACCAGATCACCCTGACCACCTGATCCCGTTAGTCGCCTCTTCTCACCAGCAAAGGTTGCTGGAGACCAATTCTAAACCGAAATTCTTTCTTTGAAAGTATGCAAAACATTTGACTACTTGTAACATACTGCTTAGATCAGGGGGCTTTCAAAAGGCCTGGTAGTATATTTATTATTTTGGATATATAAACAATATAAATAGTCAAATTTGCTGACAATAAAGGCAGATATAGTTGCAAGTAGGCTACGAAAACACAACTCTAATCAAGTAGGGTATTGCTTCTCAGGCACTGCCCGCATCATCATAAAGTTCGCCACACATTTCGTTTTTATTTCAATTTTTTAAAAATATATACAAAATCCTTAAATATTCCAAGTCCAACTTGTATTCTATTATCGTACTCATCAAGGAATACATTTATGTTGGGAGGCCCTTTCCCAGGTTCATTGTACACAATTGTTTTATTGATAACACAACTGTTTATTGGTTACATATAAGGTTTGAACAACCAAAAAAAAATAAAGACACCGCCTGCCCGCACTATATTTTCAAAAACCATTGCCTGAGAACCAATTCTTTCATTTTTTAATCCTAAGGAAATTGTTAAAAGGTTAACAAATCCATTACATCCAGTGTAAGGTATTCAAGCGTCATGCAAGTTTTGATGCATTTGTGAGGAATGTCAATGCAGGTTGCAAAGCATTACAGTAAATCAATAATATTTATTTCCTGTCAATTTTTTTCTGCATACAAACTGATATATTTTTATTCTTGTAAAAGACAGTCCATCTACTTTCTACTGTTCGGTAGCAAGGCATATTTCTTGTGACTTGATTCTTGCATATTGTATAAATATATCACAGACAATCAGGAACACTGAATGGTGGTATCAGGATTTGACACCAGAGGGCTCTGTACTGTCGTTACCGCTGTCATCGGAGAAGTAGTTGTCTTGGGAGACTGACTGTTCGGCCAGACGCTGTTTCCTGGATAAGCGAAAAGCAAGACATAATATTATAGACTTATAATCTTCAAAACAGAAACAAGGTCAGACAACATCGTTATCCTTGCCGTTGTTTTACGCCGCACTCAGCAATTTTCCAGCTATATGACGGCGTCTGTAAATAATCGAGTCTGGAACAGACAATACAGTGATTGACATCATGAGCATCGATCCACACAATTGGGACCCGATGACACGCATCAACCAAGTCAGCGAGCCCGACCACCCGATCCCGTAAGTCGCCTCTTACGACAAGCATAGTCGCCTTTTATGGCAAGCACAAATTACTGAATACCTATTCTACCCCGGATCTTCACGGGTCTTATCCTTGTCAAATGGAATGATAACATGTAGCAGATTTTCATGTCAGAATCTCTTATTAAATAGGAATATTATTCCACAAAGCAATCATTGCCCTATAACTAAGGTGAGGTGAAATGGGTTTAACGTCACATTGTAGTTAATTGCACGTGTGTGTCTGTGTGTGATGCTTGTACTAGCCCGGACTAATGCCGGTTTTTATAGTGCTAGCCCACTGAGATACCATGCCTCAGTCTGACATGGATACCACACTCAGCACAGCATACTGACTCCAAGTCAATCAGCCCTCATTATGTCCCTTTATGGTGAGTGCCAGGTAGGGAATCAACAAGTACCAGATATTAATGATCTAGATGCTCCATCCACCAGACCACAGAGGTGGCCTAGGACTAAGGTAAGTCTATGTTAACATACAGCTACCATAGTTCTCAGATCACTGTGTCAAAAGAAGCCCTGTTATTAAACTACACAAATCTATCTTAAATATTTATTTATACCAAGAAAGCTGATTGTTAAGCAATAGACAAGGCTCTCTAGCTCACCTGACTGTAGCTCACCTGACACAAGCAGAATCATTTTCATGACACTTCAGCCTTATTTTGGTACAAACATCTACATTGAGAAAAATGGTGCAAAAAAATCCAGGAAAAAGCAAAAGAGGTATCTTTGCAATATTATTTTGGACAATATTCTGTGCTAATAGTGATGCCTTCATGGATCTTCTTGTATTGATTACATTCACACTAAGTTTAAGCCCTCAAAAAGACGTTTTTAACTTTTTGTAAAATCTGAGTTCCTTCGCATTTAGAAAAAAACAACAATAAAATCAAATTGATTTTAACAAGATAAGATTTCTTCATAAAAAGGGACCTGCATGCCAAGTTTCATCAGTCAAACAGTATCAGAGGACACAGTTAAGACCAAGGTTATGTGCACAGTTCAACCAACTGCAAAGGTCAGGGTTACTGGGGGTCAGGTACCTTGTGAGTAGTCAATCACATCAAGAGGTACGGTGAGGTGAAATTTGGTTTAAGGTCGCGTCCAAGATTATTGCACTTATATAGCGATGTGCATGCACGTGTATGTGTGTGTGTGGCTGCTTGTACTAGTCCGGACTGATGCCGATTTATAGTGCTAGCACACTGAGATACCATGCCGCAGTTTAATATGAATACAGTATACTGACTCCGAGCCGACCAGTCCTTGCTTTAGCCCCTTAATGCCGAGCGCCAGACAGGGTAACAACAAGTACCATCTTTTAACGTCTTTTGGTATGACGCGGCAGGGGATCGAACCCCGGACCTTCCGCTCTCTGGGCGGACGCTCTACCACTAGACCATGGAGGCGGTTCCATCACATCAAGAGATCCTTATTTGAAGTGATGTAGGTCACTAGCCTTTGCCTCGACATCCGAAGCAATGGCTGTTTTGGCTTTGACTGGCCTAGGGGTTACATTGTCCCAAGTGCTGGCCTGCTATCTGACTTGATAAGGAATTGTTTCATAGGCATTACTTAGAAGTTGACGGATGACAGGGTAGACACAATTCATGGATAACAGCTTCTTTAATTACTGTAAAGGCAACGTTTCTGTCCAGATACGGATCTATCCCGAAACGTCACCTTTACAGTAACTAAAGAAGTTGTTATCCATAAATTGTGCCTTCTCTGACCTAGTAATGGCCAAGAATGACAATTTCAATATGGCCACCATAGCAGCCTTGTATGAAATCAGATCTTGATTCTGTGATCAAGTTTTAAAGACACCATAGCTGGATCATTCACACAATTTCAGCTTCATAGGCCTTGATAGTTTCGGAGGTGATGCTGAAAATGCCAAAGTTAATGGAGGACTGACACACGGACCACACGCCCCAACATAAGCTCTCTTGACTTCAGTCAGGTGAGCTAAAAAAGTGTAGAGTTGTTCTTCATCTTACCTCAGTTCTATCCTGGAGCACTTTGGACATTTGCCTGGTATGTAGCAGGTCCTGTGATAGCACGCATGGCAATCTGGAAACAAGGGCATCACATCAGAGCATTGACGTGTTGGTTTCATGCCGGAACGGAGTCTGGGCTGTGCAACGAGAACTGACCAGCAGATTTCTGTTAATTCTAGTCTATTTTACAAGTTTGGGGTACTGGTTGGCTGGTTGGTTTGTTGTTTTACGCTGCACTCAGCAATATTCCAGCTATATGACGGCGGTCTGTAAATAATCGAGTCTGTACCAGACAGTCCAGTGATTGATATCATGAGCATCGATCCACATAATTGGGATACGATGACACTGACCACTCGACCACTCGATCCCGTTAGTCGCCTCTACCGACATTTATAACTCCATAAACGCCAAAACAATTATATGTCAATTCTTATAAATATTGTGACAACTGCTTATTTATCAGACAACGGTGACATTGTACAGCGCAATGGTGCAACACAAAACCCTGTTCATCCTTTTGTCATTAATTTGGTTTATGGGGACATATTTATTGTAAAATAACAATATTTTGCAAGAAGAGCATGTGTAGTCTAGTCAGATTTCAGACGAGGAGACTCGTGGCTATGTCTCTAACATTTACCACTTTGGTGAATCACACAAGCAGGGGTACAGTGCTGACAAAATCTAGACACATAATCAGGGCAAATCTGGGATTCCAACCAACAATCACAGGTTCCTGACACACCAAGGGACACAACTCTACACAGCAAATTGTGGAGCCTTAGATGACTAGTCCACCCGTGGTCACAAGACCTGTGTAGACACTGCAAAGTATATATGGTAAACCTGCTCTTGATGCAAGCAGTAAGTAACATTAAGAGATGATTCACATACCTGCACAGTGCTTAAGTCGATGTTGCTTACCTGGACACTGGTACACCTTGTCTAGCTGGAAGGGGAATACCTGGACACTGTTAAGTAGATGTTGCTTACCTGGAAACTGGTCCACCTTATCTAGCTGGAAGGGGAATACCTGGACACTGGTAGACGATGTTGCTTACCTGGACACTGGTACACCTTGTCTAGCTGGAAGGGGAATACCTGGACACTGTTAAGTAGATGTTGCTTACCTGGAAACTGGTCCACCTTATCTAGCTGGAAGGGGAATACCTGGACACTGGTAGACGATGTTGCTTACCTGGACACTGGTACACCTTGTCTAGCTGGAAGGGGAATACCTGGACACTGGTAGACGATGTTGCTTACCTGGACACTGGTACACCTTGTCTAGCTGGAAGGGGAATACCTGGACACTGGTAGACGATGTTGCTTACCTGGACACTGGTACACCTTGTCTAGCTGGAAGGGGAATACCTGGACACTGGTAGACGATGTTGCTTACCTGGACACTGGTACACCTTGTCTAGCTGGAAGGGGAATACCTGGACACTGGTAGACGATGTTGCTTACCTGGACACTGGTACACCTTGTCTAGCTGGAAGGGGAATACCTGGACACTGGTAGACGATGTTGCTTACCTGGACACTGGTACACCTTGTCTAGCTGGAAGGGGAATACCTGGACACTGGTAGACGATGTTGCTTACCTGGACACTGGTACACCTTGTCTAGCTGGAAGGGGAATACCTGGACACTGGTAGACGATGTTGCTTACCTGGACACTGGTACACCTTGTCTAGCTGGAAGGGGAATACCTGGACACTGGTAGACGATGTTGCTTACCTGGACACTGGTACACCTTGTCTAGCTGGAAGGGGAATACCTGGACACTGGTAGACGATGTTGCTTACCTGGACACTGGTACACCTTGTCTAGCTGGAAGGGGAATACCTGGACACTGGTAGACGATGTTGCTTACCTGGACACTGGTACACCTTGTCTAGCTGGAAGGGGAATACCTGGACACTGGTAGACGATGTTGCTTACCTGGACACTGGTACACCTTGTCTAGCTGGAAGGGGAATACCTGGACACTGGTAGACGATGTTGCTTACCTGGACACTGGTACACCTTGTCTAGCTGGAAGGGGAATACCTGGACACTGGTAGACGATGTTGCTTACCTGGACACTGGTACACCTTGTCTAGCTGGAAGGGGAATACCTGGACACTGGTAGACGATGTTGCTTACCTGGACACTGGTACACCTTGTCTAGCTGGAAGGGGAATACCTGGACACTGGTAGACGATGTTGCTTACCTGGACACTGGTACACCTTGTCTAGCTGGAAGGGGAATACCTGGACACTGGTAGACGATGTTGCTTACCTGGACACTGGTACACCTTGTCTAGCTGGAGGGGGAATACCTGGACACTGGTAGACGATGTTGCTTACCTGGACACTGGTACACCTTGTCTAGCTGGAAGGGGAAGATGACGTCATGGGAGCTGCACAACTCACAGATGAAGCCCAGACCCTGACAGAACTGAAACAGCAGCAGTTCACTGTCAACATCAAGATTACTATGCTAAACCTGCTTTCACTGTCAGTATCAAGATCATGATGCTAAACCTGCTTTCACTGTCAGTATCAAGATCATGATGCTAAAACTGCTTTCACTGTCAACATCAAGATCACCATGCTAAACCTGCTTTCACTGTCAATATCAAGATCAAGATGCTAAACCTGCTTTCACTGTCAATATCAAGATCAAGATGCTAGACATGCTTTCACTGTCAATATCAAGTTCATGATGCTAGACCTGCTTTCACTGTCAATATCAAGATCATGATGCTAGACCTGCTTTCACTGTCAATATCAAGATCAAGATGCTTGACCTGCTTTCACTGTCAATATCAGGATCATGATGCTTGACCTGCTTTCACTGTCAATATCAAGATCATGATGCTAAACCTGCTTTCACTGTCAATATCAAGATCACCATGCTAAACCTTCTTTCACTGTCAATATCAGGAGCATAGTGCTAAACCTGCTTTCACTGTCAATATCAAGATCACCATGCTAAACCTGCTTTCACTGTCAATATCAAGATCACCATGCTAAACCTGCTTTCACTGTCAATATCAGGAGCATAGTGCTAAACCTCCTTTCACTGTCAATATCAAGATCACCATGCTAAACCTGCTTTCACTGTCAATATCAAGATCACGATGCTAAACCTGCTTTCATTGTCAATATCAAGATCACGATGCAAACACTGCTATATCAGATCCTACAGTGTAAACTACTGTCATTATTCCGTAATTTTAACCAGGTCAGACATGGGCTGTTTACTACCACACTCAAAGAGACTGGACCAGAAAATTCACAGATTATCATCATGAGCATTGATCTACACAATTGGCAGTCAAGGGTTGATATGCACTAATAATGCACCGTTGGTCCAGATAACGGAGGACTTTTTTCATAAAAAGGTGTTTCTATAAGTGAGTGAGTGCATGTTGTTTTGTACCCCAGTCAGCAATGTTCCAGCCATATCACAGGGGTCTGCAAATAACTGGAACGAAGCTGTTGATGTGACAAGCAATCAACCAAGGCACTGAGTCAATCCAGTTGCATCAAATTTGTGTTTCTTTGTTTGTTGTTGTTGCCATGCCACCCCTTTGGACTAGTTTCAGGAAACCTTAAGGTTACTTGGCAATGGTCTCTTCACGCCGCCTTCTTGGTATGTTATGTCTGCTGAAGTGAAACCGCTGTCTAATATCGGAAGTGTATTGGTTGTTGTGCCTTTCCTAACTGGTGCTGCACTCAACGATATTCCATCTACATGATGTAAATAATCAAATTTGGACCAGACAATCCGGTCATTGATATTGTGAACAATGATCCACACTTTCAGGTACGAGGACACACAAACAATCAAGAGAGGTGAGATGAGGTGAAATTGGGTTTAACGTCGCGTCCAAGATTATTGCACTGATATAGCGACGTGCATGTACGTGTGTGTGTGGCTGCTTGTACTAGACCGGACTGATGCCGATTTATAGTGCTACCCTACTGAGATATCATGCCGCATTTTAGCATGAATACCCCACTCAGACACAGTATACTGACTCCGAGCCGACCAGTCCTTGTTTTAGCCCCTTAATGCCGAGCGCCAGACAGGGTAACAACAAGTACCATCTTTTAACATCTTTTGGTATGACGCGGCCGGGGATCGAACCCCAGACCTTCCGCTCACTGGGCGGACGCTCTACCACTAGACCACGGAGGCGGTCCAATCAAGAGAGAGAACCAGACCACCTGACCCATTTGGTCGCCTCTTGAAACACTGAACCCCTACAGGGTGCATCAAACTGCCTACTCTAATGACATGCATGGGGTAATGGGGTCAACTCTGCCTGGGTGTTTCTCTCAGACTAATATCTCAGACCTTTGGTGGGGATCACCAACCCAAATCCATATTCCAAAGGCAAGGGCGTTAACTGACTGTAAAAGTCCAGTTTCCACCCTTGCCGAAAAGGCTGGAATTTCTGGGCTTCATCGTAGCGCCACCAGTGGCTATTACAAGTTATGTCCCTTCAATGTCCCTCCTACTGACCAATCAGATTTCACCTCTCATATCACTTGTACGGGCTTCAAATAAAATGGCAGCACCAAGTCAAGACCATCTCGATCTCATCAATAATCCAAATCTATATTATGATAAAACGAGTCCTACTTCTCAAAGTGCAACAAATCATGTAAACACCTTGACAAAAGTGAGTAAGTGAGTTGGGTTTAATGCCGCTTTTAACAGTATTCCAGTTATATCACGGCATGTCAGCTTAATGTGGGAGGAAAGCCTGAAGTGAGGCAGGTCTCAGACGTTTACCACTTCGGTGAAACCCACGAACACAGGTATGGTGCTGACAAACCTAGAAACATAATCGGGGCGAACCGGGATTCAAACCCACAATCATAGGTTTCTGGCATGCCCAAGAGATGTGACTCTGCACAGTGAATCGTGGCGCCTTAGACGACTGGGCCACCTGGGCCCCCCCCAGGAAGATGAGCCAACATACCGGGCAGTCTTGGATGTGGGACAGAGCGTTGTGGACACAGTTCTTCAGTTGGTTCACCATGTCCCCACTCTTCACCTGCAACAACAAACAAACACATGGAGAGCTGTCAAACAATACCACAGCAAGGCCTTTATCAGTCAAAAGGAGTGAGTGAGTGAGTTGGGTTTAACAACGCTTTTAACAGTATTCCAGTTATATTGCAACATGTCAGCTTAATGTGGGATGAAAAGCCCGAAGTGATGCAGGTCTCTAGATTCAAACACCTCCCTCATTTCAAACACTTATTATGACAGTTTCTTTACTCATGCAAATTCCATGGATTATAAGTACTACAGCCTTAGCAATAGTATCTCTTTCATTGGACCATGGGCTGCCAGTCTGTTTGCTGGGCGCCTTCGGCTCGTCAACTCACTCGTGTTAGATCTTCCATGGAGAACACTGTTGTTTCATCCAACCAGTGCCGAGGTAATTTTTCTATATCATCTAGCAATCTGTAAACATATGGAGAATTTCACATTAGTGTCGTTTGATATCAATATATCAACATGCGTCAATAAAGTGTATTTGTAAGTCAACAAGTGTACTTATCATCCAAAATCATTCTTCCAACTTTTTCAGTTTTGTAACGGTAATAACCTCCTCTATGTGATAAGACTGCTAACCAGCTTCGGAGGCAGAGAGTGAGTGAGTGAGTTCGGTTTTACGCCGCTTTTAGCAATATTCCAGCAATGTCATGGCGGGGGACACCAGAAATGGGCTTCACACATTGTACCCATGTCGGGAATCGAACCCGGGTCTTCGGCGTGACGAGTTAACGCTTTAACCACTAGGCTACCCGACCGCCCCTCAGAGGCAGAGAGGTTAGTGAGTGAGTTGGGTTTTAACCCGCTTAATGTGGGAGGAAAGCCCAAAGTGATGCATGTCTCAGACGTTTACCACTTCCGTGAAACCCACGAGCACAGGTATGGTGCTGACAAATCTAGAAACATAATCAGGGTGAACCAGGATTCGGACCCACAATCATAGGTTTCTGGCGTGCCCAAGGGACGCAACTCTGCACAGCGAAGTACCGCCTTAGACGACTTGGACACCCTTGCCCCGCAGAGAGATTAGTGATGTCATGGTAACCAATGAGGTCATAATGGTCTGCCAGGTATTGTCATGCAACTTAATTATCTCCGAGAATATATTGCTTCTTAAGTTATGCACGTGATATCTTCTGTGGAAGCCAATTTTTGAAGATAGAAGAAAAAGCAAAATCACAAACAAAAATATGTCCCTTATAGCTTGTTACCAAACTATCAGTCGCAATCTGTTTCCTGTCGAAACCTTTTCATCTAGAGGAACAAACAACATTGTATTTATTTACATCTGATGTCTTGAATATACTGTTGCATCAAGTTGGAACATAATCAATTTCTTTGAGTCAGTTTTATTTTCAGACTCCAAATTCGTTTCAACCAAAATGTTCCCAACACAGAAACATATAAAACTGCCCAGATTAAAGTAGAGTGAGCAAAGATGACACATTTTATCTGACTGTTCAGTTTGAGAACAAAGAATGTCTACTGGCTCAGATAACGCTTACAACTCAACAGTTAAACCAAATTTTAACCAGAAACAGGGACAGATAACCCTCAAATTGTCTGGTCCAAGCCATATTTTAACCGTCAATATCAGGTATATATACCAGAGACTGGAAACACTGTGTTACTCTCATCACAAGCAGCCACCAATGTCTGAACACCTTACAGTATCTGGTCTATATACCGGAAAATTTAAAATCCCAATCGGACATTTGCATTTAGGCCACGCCCCCATCAAATAGCGTATTTTAGTACGACTTTTCACACACATTACAAGTTTACGTATTCATAATATGATGAATTATGAATTGTTTCAATTTAAATTGTTTAAATCACCGGACAATTAATAACAAATAATATCATTTTAGATTTAAATGGAAAACATACGTTTGTTTCTGTTATAATAACGATCTATTAACGTAGTGAACGGTCTAATTAATATTCATGAGTTATATTCATGAGTCTGCTCAAGTGTACGCGTTGTAACATTTGGATCGAGACTATTATCCCATATTTGGTTATCACGTGACCTCACGGGAAAAGTGTTTTTTTAAACTAAAGATTTTTTTAAAAACAAGACAGATAATTTAATCACAAATACTAAAATATCGTTGATAGCAATAGTTATTTGAATACTTTTTTCATCTGTACTTAATTATTGACCATAAAAAAATTGGATTTCGATCGTCCGAGAAAGCAAAATGGCGGTCAATCAAGATTCAATATACGACTAGCTACTGAAAAAAATAAAATCTGCAAATCCTCATTGTATGTCAACCAAGTGAAAGCCGTTAGCCACGACTTACAAAATGATCGTCCAAACTTTGAGGGTTTGGCAGATCCGCTCGACTGATCTGCATCGGTCGACTGGCTGTCGTCACGCTTTCGCTTCTTGTCTGAGGTTACGTATCGTAGCAGTGTGAGGATAATGAGGTACATCGATGATGCAAGGTATTAATGTACAGTTGTAAACACCTTTCACTCAAATTAACAAGATTTTCTCAGTAATTAATCCTCAATTAATCAGTGTCAACTCAGTTTATTGCCTATTACAGTGATTGACCGATTGGACTATCATGTAGGTATGATGTATTTACAGCAATCAAAACAAACAAAGCTTGTCAGTGTAGTTAATCTTCATTGTGTTGCAACTGCAGACAGAAACTGCTCAGTCCTAACTGTTGATCATGTCCGGTCAAAATTTAAGAATGTCCGGACAATACTTTTTAAAATGTCCGGTAAGCAATATTTTAAAACGGACATTTGAGATTCCCAATCGGACATGTCCGGCGCATATGATGGTTTCCGGACCCCTGCTATATACACCAGAGAATGGAAACACTGTGTTACTCTCATCACAAGCAGCCACCACTAATCACTGGACCCTCACCTGCTTCCCTGCTTGCAGACTCTGAGGAAAGATTTAAGATGGAAGAGCTGTTTCCGACAGTCACGTATTGTCTCCAGGTTCCGAACTCGCCGGAATAACAACGCATTGATGTCAAGGATATTAAACAGAGGGTCCTGGAAGATCTTCGCCAGTAAATCATGGGCAAAGTTTGACACACAGTATCTTGTAAAGTCCCACTTGCGGAGCACCCTCCCTGGCACTAGGTCCACTGAGTTGGAATGGCAGCACTGACAGAAGTATTTGCCGAGGTACTCACAGTACCGGAATCGTTTCACATATGCTGCAATGAATAGAGAAATACCACATGACATACGTAACAAACAGGACGTAATAAGCGCCCAGGGCCTCTCAAGATTAGAAATAGAGGGCTCTTATTAGAATATTATTTTGGTGAAAAAAACAGAGTTGAAAGATAAATTTCCTGGTTTATGCTGACAGCCTGAAATGTTTATTTACGACAGATATATTTTTCAAGAATTTAATTGCCCATATTTAAGGGTGCATATAACACACAAGTGCGTATTATACGCAAATAAATAAGACTTGTGAAAGAAGAAATGATTTTATTAGGGAAAGGATTGATTGATTGATTGATTGATGGATGGATGGATGGATGGATGGATGGATGGATGGATGGATGGATGGATGGATGGATTGAGCGAGCACAGGTATGGTGCTGACAAACCTAGAAACAATCAGGGCGAACCAGGATTCGAACCCACAACGATAGGTTTCTCACATGCCCACGAGTCGCACCTTGCGGCACCTTAGATGACTGGGCCAGCCGTGCCCCCTATACGGAGAGGAAGTTCTAGCAAAAATACAAACCTGGCTCGACTTTCATCCCACACCCAGCACACCGGTAGTTCTGTTTGGCTAATATAACACTACGTCTGAAACAAGCAAAGCATCTCTCTCCATTATATATACAAGGTCTTCAGGTATTGTTTGTTTGTTTGTTTGTTTGTTTGTTTGTTTGTTTTTTAACGCCTCACTCAGCAATATTCCAGCTATATGACGGCGGTCTGTAAATAATCGAGTCTGGACCAGAAAATCCAGTGATTGACATCATGAGCATCGATCCACGCAATTGAAACCAATGACATGCATCAAACCAAGTCAGCGAGCCTGACCACCCGATCCCGTTAGTTGCCTTGTATTACAACCATAGTCGCCTTTTACAACAAGCATGGGTTGCTGAAGACGTATTCTACCCCGGATCTTCATGTGTCTCTTCAGGTATTGAACTGTTGAGAGGCCAAAAACCAGATCAAAATTACAAAATTTCCTTAACAACCTGAGTAAACCTTAAAATCAGGACCCTGTGCTTGGTTATCGTGGAGTGAGTGAGAATGGTTTTATGCCGCTTTTAGCAATATTCTAGCAATATCACAGCGGGGACACAAGAAATGGGCTTCACACATTGTACCCATGTCGGGAATCGAACCTGGGTCTTCGGCGTGATGAGCGAATGCTTATATCATCACTAGGCTACACGACCGCCCTGTATATGGTGGAACTACACAGTCTAAACATGGTAAAATCTCCCACAGCGTATGGTGATGACCTACTTGGGAGGGGGATGTATGTTGAAGATGATCTGTGGCCGTGGAGGAGCCCACTCAAGGTTCCCTCGTATTCGTGTCTGAAACACAAGCAGAACATCACTAATGGGAATCAATTTTAACATTAAACTTCACAGGAATCTTCAGGAAATTTTTCATAAAAAGAGATCTGTTTGTTTCAACTGTTTGTTGTTTAACATCACACTTGACAGCAGTCTGTAAATAATCGAATCGGGACCAGACAATCCAGTGACTGATATCTTGAACATAGATCTATGCAATTGGGATACAATGACATGCATCAACCAAGTCCGTGAGCCTGACCACCCAATCACATTAGTGGCTGAAGACCAGTTCTAACCCGGATCTTCACAAAGGCAGGCAAACATGAGGTGCTGAAGAACCTGTTTGTTCACGGGTTGAGATGTGGAACGAGACTCACAGAGCTCCAGATAACTTTTAAGCAATTCAGTTTTTAATCGAAGGTTTCTATTTTAATTGGGTTATTACATTTTTCATTGGGTAACCAATATTTTTTCACTCATTTAATAATCACTCTATTGGGTTTTTCCCGAAATGAGTAGGCATTTTGAGATTTAAAAAAATACAAAATAATGATTTAGATGTATATAACGGTTCTACATATAGGCTTGACTCAGAAATTAGCTTCGTTGTACACATGCTGAAAAAGCTTTATTGGGTATGAAATGTGCTGTTTTCAAACAATTGAGTTTTCATATAATGCATGCGTTTCTGTACGCATGTTAATTGAAAGTAATTGGGTTTTGAAAAGTTTTGGGGGGTATTTTACACAAATATGCAGCTTATCTGTAGCTCTGACTCACCTTTCTGTTCTTGAGCAGGTCAGCATTTTCTCCATCGTCAGGCGACACCGGGTAGGAGTTGGGCAGGGGCAGCAACTACAGCAGGGATAATGGACAAAATAGTGTAGAATATTTGAATGTTCAGCTTAGCTTGCAGTTTTGTTTGTATGTTTGTTGGTTTGTTTGTTCAACACTGTGTTCAGCAATATTCCAGCTATATGAGGGTGGTCTGTAACTAATCCAGTCTGGGTCAGACAATCCAGTGATTGACATCATGAGCATCAATCCACGCAATTGGAATACGATGACATGCATTGACCAAGTCAGCGAGCCTGACCACCCGGTCCTGTTAGTTGCCTCTTACATTTGAATTTTACTGCTTTAGTCATAATTCATTATTTCAAAAATCTTATTCTTCAGAAGAAAATGTCTCATTTGTATTAAGTTACCAATGGATGACAACATGATTTTTATGGGCTTACAACCAAGAATAATAATAATAACAACAATAATCACAACAACAACAACAATAATACATCACACTCACGGCCTGAGGAGCATCTTGTTCCGAGACCAGCCACTCCAGGTCCGAAGCCTTGGGAAGCTGCTTCTCCGAGAACTTCTTTAGTAAAGAGATGGCCACAGACTCGGCTGACATGTTGGCCCCACCGCCGTCCTGGATTGAACTACAAACACATGGTCAAACTATAGCCTTCTAAAGTGAGTGAGTGAGTGTCATATCACATCTTACCAAGGCCAAGGAGTTAACTGAAAGCAAAAGCATATCAGATTCCACCTCTCATATCACTTGCATTTGGCAGCTTGCTAGTCCAGCCAAAATGGTCGGAATTCCAGCCTAGTTTGGCAAGGGTGGAAACTGGACTTTTACAGTCAGTTAACTTCCTTGGCAAGGAAGATGGTCATATCATAGTTTGGTAAACCCACAAGCATAGCTATAGTGCAGACGTGCCAGTGATCTATTTCACGTGAATATACAAGCACATCCCAGACTTCAGCGAGTGAGTGAGGTTAACACCGCTTTGGACTGTATTTCAGTCATATACAGTGTGTCAGCTTGATGTGGGATGAAAGCCCAATGTGACAGATATTCAGTGTTAAACATATATACTTTGGTACTACCCACCAGCACGGGTATGGTGCTGACAAACCCAGAAACATAATCAGGGCACAGTTTCAGTTCCTGCCACGTGCAAAGGACACAAATCTGCATGTGTTCAAACTATGTTATGTTTGTGTTTGCTGTTAAAACGCCTCACTCAGCAATATTCCAGCTATGTGACAGCGGTCTCTAAATAATCAGTCTGGACCAGACAATCCATTACATCATGATACGATGTGGTGCACACGATCCACTGAGTGGACAAGCATGGGCTGCTGAAAACAAATTCCAACCTGGATTGTACCCGGGGTTCATAATTCAGAAGGTCATAGGCTCCTTGACCTGCTATGGTTTCTAAATCCAAGCCACTAAATTTCTGTTAAAACTTTTTACATTAGGGTTATTAAACAAAGCCGATGAATTATATGGTTAATTTTCCATCACTGTGTAGATGTCAGCTATATTGGACTTGGTAACATCCAGTGTTCAATCCAGTGATTGATATTGAGAGCACCATCAACCAAGTCACTGTCAGCCATTATGGACATAATTCCATCCATCCTCACACTAAATAGTAAATACTGAAACAGAGTCTGTGAAAGGATTTCTTCCTTGAAACTGATACTTACTTCTGTTTTTCTAGAGGCTGGCTGCTCTTACGTAGGTCAGCATCTGGAAGGGAGAGACACACATTCTCTACATCACATCATCACTGTCAAGATCAAAAGATTTTCCATAATTGAAATTGGATTTTTGAACACTGTAAGTATAAGCTTAAGAATGTCAAAAGGTCATATCTACCAAATCTGCCAATAGACAATAGGATCAGTAAAACATAAAATGACGGTTGTTGTTTAATGCCACACTCAGGAATATTCCAGCTATATGAAGGCGTTTTGTAAATCATTCAGTCTGGACCAGACAATCCAGTGATTGATATTGTGAGCAACAATCCATGCAATCGTGGTATGATGATCCATAATCAACCAAGTCAGCAAGCCTGACCACTCGATCGGTAAGTCGGCTCATACGACCACCATAGGCTGCTGGGGACCTCTTCTACATTGGAATCCCCATAGAGCTAGCAAACATTTCAGCCTACTTATTTTATTTACAATAGAACGAAAGAAAAGAAATTCAGAGCATATTTCAAATTCAGTGGTGTGAATATGATATCAGGCTTATTCAACCGATGTTGGACATGTATTTTCTACAGGGTCAGAACATTTCTCCAGGTTTCCGGAATAACTGAGATTTGTGAAACTGTTCACGCTAACCACCAACGTGTGAGAAAATGTTCATCAGAACGCGCCAGCCGGGACAGCTAGGTACAGGCCTCAAAGTTTAAATTTTTACCAAGTAGCCATATGGCTACAAGTAGTTTTTTCCAGGTAGCCAGTGGTAAAATCAAGAAGTCAAGCAAATATTGTAAGTAGCCAAAAGTATTTGAAATTATCTTTAATCAAATGACTATTATATGTACAAGTCATAGCACTAGTCTTGGAATTGTACATTAGTGGAAACTGTACTTGAGTTTTGTTATTTGTGACTCGAACAATGATGCAATTTATTTTAATAGATTACATAGGTACATGTATATCCTTGCTTAGCCAATAAAGTATCAACTAAAATAAAATACCAATTACATTAATATTTATGTATTTCAGTTCATTGTTGACTTTAGGAGGAATTATTTGCGAGTACAATTAGTAGCAGACATGTTTATTTTTGTGTCTACATATGTGAAGCAAAAGAATTTAGATGCCACAAGATATTTTTCTAGGCAGTCATTTGGCTACCTCTGAATTTTAGACAGTAGTCAAATTGAAATTTAGGTCGCCTTGGCAATCGTTTAAGTTGCAACTTTGAGGCCTGAGGTAGTTATTCCTGTTACAAGCTGATTTCAGTTTGAAGTAGCCAGTTTTGTACCCAGCCAAACACATGGAGGAATCTGGTAGCAGAGGGGAAAACGTCAAGTTTGACCAAGGTTTTACCTACAGTCTGAGTCAATATCAAACAGGTTTCTGTCACTAACAGAGCTAGTGCAAGTAGTGGTAGCTGAATAACACGTCATATTATTGTTTTAGTAGAAAACAAATCTTATTTTTCATGTGAACATTTTCTATTTTCGATGGGTGAATATTATATATTGCAGCTCACAAAACAGAAAACTAAGCAAGCCTGTTGGGCTAGTAAGACTCTATTTTCACTGGCCAGAAAGAAAGAAAGTATAGCCATAGGCTACCGGGTGCTTATTTCTCACACCGCTAGCCACTCGCTAGTCGTCTATATGGTGTAGGGATGCTGTGCTGGGATGTAGGTGTTAGTGGGGAAATAGTGTGTTAATACGCTACATCTTCTACATCTCCAGGGCTCATATTTCGGTAAACCTACAATAGCCCCTGGATCAATTCCTATGGTTCACGCAATCTCAGATAACCCGCCCTTGATTTCATAAGCAATTTGCTTGCTACACCACTGAGTCTATCGGACCAATCAGAATGCAGGTTACAAACCAGCCTTGGGTTGACGACATCAACAACATGGTTGCCAGTCGAAAAGATTACGATAGAGTTAGCCAGGAATTCAATATTGAAAAACTGACTGACATGCAAAAGAAAAACTCCAAAAATCTTATTGATGGAAAGGCGGTTTTCATGTCCATAAAAACTGACAGTGCCAAGTCCTGCCTTACCTATTTCCTTCCACCTCATCTTGACATTTGATTGGTCGGTAAAATGTTAATGAAAGTCAAGGGCGGATAGTTTGAGATGGCGGTAACCATGGGAACAGATCCAAGTTCCTGAAATGCTAGCCCTGGGGATACAGAGGATGTAGCTGGGAGGATGGGAGGAACTCCTCACACTGACAAATCTTCAAAACCCCTTATCTACTCTAGGATCACTCTTTTAAACTCATGAAACAAATACAAACTCATTATTTTACTCGTTGACACATTACTTGAAAAATTATAGTAAAAATGACAAAAATATTTTTACTTGAAACATGAATATAAGAAAGAAAACAACTAAAACATCTCTACAGCGACTATTTCGTTAAAAGCGTTAATGGCGTATAGAGTCAGCCTTACAACAAAAGTACAACATGGTTACCAGAGTATAGAGATGCCATTGAGAGAGATAGACCACTGGACTTTAGCATTGACAAGTTGCTCTGCTGATCTGCTGCCGATCCTGACACTACAAACAAATTATCTCCCTTTAACTCATTCACTGAAAATTCAGTGGAGATATTTCCAATCGGAGCATAATAAAGGGGTGGTGCTCAATTGGGTTACATGACAGGACATGAGTGGCACATGGTGGTAGTCACGCATTCACATTGTCAAAGAGAAATCTGCAGAATATGCGTTATAAAAAAAGTTCATAAATGTTTGCATGCGAGGTAATCGAATGCTGATAATACATATTTCACATTAACAAATTGATACAGATTACACACAGATTATTTGCAAGACAAGTTGTACTTTATTACAGCCTTGCAATGCTTCTGTGACAAATACACCTTCATCAGACATGAGAGTGATCTGTGACAGGCGATGGACAAAATATCAACATTTCACCAAACAACAGACCCACTGCGCCGAAAAAGTCCCTTTAACGATGCAGTTTTCTCAATATATCAAGTCAATTAAAGTGGTTTGCAAAGGCCCGCCTTGCTGGAGAGCTGAGATATATTTGCGTCAGCTTCCAAACTGAACACATTAACATCACAGTTTCAATACACCAAACTTATCACTAATGAGTGAGTGAGTTGGGTTTAATGCCGCTTTTAACAGTATTCCAGTTATATCACGGCGTGTCAGCTTAATGTGGGAGGAAAGCCCGAAGTGATGCAAGTCTCAGACGTTTACCACTTCGGTGAAACCCACGAGCACGGGTATGGTGCTGACAAACCTAGAAACATAATCGGGGCAAAGCGGGATTCGAACCCACAATCATAGGTTTCTGGCGTGCCCAAGGGAGCAACTCTGCACAGCGAATCGCAGCACCTCAGCCAACTGGGCCACCCGTGCCCCCTTAGCACTAATGCCATTCAAAGACTTCAATGTTGCTCTTTTCGTTTATATTACATGAAATAACGAGATCAGATCATGTTGAGGGGAGTAATTACTCCATGTTAATTAAACATTAGATTTTGTTGACTTGGACATAGTACTGACTAAAGTGCGGGTACAATGTGTGGGGATATTACGCAGCGATAGATGTCATGACAAGCAGTAACTGGCCGTGATACGGCCGAAGGGACATAAACAGGGCGGGGCTTGTGCGCAGACTACTGTCCTGGTATCTACAAAACTTATGTGACATGTTTGTAAATACTCACATAATGGGATAAAATATCATAATTGTATCATATAGATGAACAGGCTAGTGCTACTGAAAACCTTATTTTTTGTATTTATAACATCTATATGCCAAACTTATCAATAATAATAATAATGGTTCCTTTCCATGTGTGTATATAATTATGAGTGTTTGCAACAAATGAAACATAAACTGCAACGAAATAATTTGAACACAATCAATCATAAAAACTAACTCATGTTCATGGGATCATGCATATGATAACTTTTTGTTGTTTAATGCTGCTCTTATAAATATTCCAGGTACATGACGGCAGCCTCAAAATAATCAAGTCAGCACCAGACAATCCAGTGATTGATATTGTGAGCATTGATCCATGCAGTCGGGGTACAATGACACACAATCAACCAGGTCACCGAGCCTGACCACTCAGTCAAGGACCTAACTTAACCAGTAATCCATAAGAGATGTAAATAAAGCTGTGAAAACAATCTGTGAAATGCAACATGTACCATCTTAATTCAATGATTGTCTCTTCTACTTCTAACTTCAAAGTTTAAAGTCCTAATACTGTTCAGCTGACATTTATATTTTCCTGCTCTTTCAAGAGCAACCCCTTTCTTACTTACACAGAAAGACACGCCCGGAGACGATGGAGTTGCTGAACGAACAGAGGGAGTGATGGTCATACTTACACGTCAGTTCAATTTCCTCGTCATCTACATCGTCACTTGAATCATAACTGTCTGCAAGACATAAAACAGACTGCTAGACAGGTGATAAATGAGTAGTTTTACACCACAGCAAGATTTCAGCAATATATTGACAGGGGACACCAGAAATGGGCTTCACACACTATACCCATGTGGGGAATTAAACCCTGGTCTTAGGTGTGACAAGTGAACACTTCAACCACTAGGCCACCCAACCACCCCACAAGTGATGAGTGAGTGAGTATAGTTTTACACCACAGCAATATTCCAGCAATATCATGACAGGGGACACCAGAAAGGGGCTTCAAACACTATACCAATGTGGGGAATCGAACCCTGGTCTTAGGTGTGACAAGTGAACACTTTAACCACTGGGCTACCCCACCACCCAAGAAGTGATGAGTGAGTGAGTATAGTTTTACACCACAGCAATATTCCAGCAATATCATGACAGGGGCACCAGAAAGGGGCTTCAAACACTGTACCCATGTGGGGCTTCAAACCCTGGTCTTAGGTGTGACAAGTGAACACTTTAACCACTGGGCTACCCCATCATCCCACAAGTGATGAACTGGATGAGGGTGACTGGATGATACCACTGTGAATAGACTTGACTCACGGTCCCACTAGTCCGAAGCCCGAGTCTAGTCAAATCCGAAATAATTAACTTTTAACATTACGTTATGACAAGGACACCTTTCATGCTTCAATACTGGTACATTGTACAAAATCTATGTGAAAATGTTCAAATACAACAACCATCTCTGCAAATACAACACTAACATATTATGTATTGATTATCATTTACATTAATGTGAATGTTGTTTAATACCTCAGTCAACAATAATAATCATGTAAATATTCGGGTCTGCAATGTCAGCGTATGCATAACATTAACCTGATATGGTTTATTGGCCAACTTTGTGTGTGATATGAACCTTTAATGGCTTATTGGTCAAAATTGTGTGTGATATGAATCTGTAATGGCTTATTGGTCAACATTGTGTGTGATATGAATCTGTAATGGTTTATTGGTCAACATAGTGTGTGATATGAATCTGTAATGGCTTATTGGTCAACACAGTGTGTGATATGAATCTGTAATGGCTAATTGGTCAACACTGTGTGTGATATGAACCTTTAATGGCTAATTGGTCAACATTGTGTGTGATATGAACCTGTAATGGCTTATTGGTCAACACAGTGTGTGATATGAATCTGTAATGGCTAATTGGTCAACACAGTGTGTGATATGAACCTGTAATGGCTTATTGGTCAACACAGTGTGTGATATGAACCTGTAATGGCTTATTGGTCAACATAGTGTGTGATATGAACCTGTAATTGCTTATTGGTCAACATAGTGAGTGATATGAACCTGTAATGGTTTATTGGTCAACATAGTGTGTGATATGAACCTGTAATGGCTTATTGGTCAACATTGTGTGTGATATGAACCTTTATTGGCTTATGCTCAACATAGTGTGTGATATGAACCTGTAATGGCTTATTGGTCAACACAGTGTGTGATATGAACCTTTAATGGCTTATTGGTCAACATAGTGTGTGATATGAACCTGTAATTGCTTATTGGTCAACATAGTGAGTGATATGAACCTGAAATGGTTTATTGGTCAACATAGTGTGTGATATGAACCTGTAATGGCTTATTGGTCAACATAGTGTGTGATATGAACCTGTGATGGCTTATTGGTCAACATTGTGTGTGATATGAACCTTTATTGGCTTATGCTCAACATAGTGTGTGATATGAACCTGTAATGGCTTATTGGTCAACATTGTGTGTGATATGAACCTGTAATGGTTTATTGGTCAACATAGTGTGTGATATGAATCTGTAATGGCTTATTGGTCAACATATTGTGTGATATGAACCTGTTATGGCTTATGCTCAACATAGTGTGTGATATGAACCTGTAATGGCTTATTGATCAACATAGTGTGTGATATGAACCTGTAATGGCTTATTGGCCAACATTGTGTGTGATATGAACCTGTAATGGCCTATTGGTCAACATAGTGTGTGATATGAATCTGTAATGGCTTATTGGTCAACACAGTGTGTGATATGAATCTGTAATGGTTTATTGGTCAACATTGTGTGTGATATGAACCTGTAATGGCTTATTGGTCAACATAGTGTGTGATATGAACCTGTAATGGCTTATTGGTCAACACAGTGTGTGATATGAATCTGTAATGGTTTATTGGTCAACATTGTGTGTGATATGAACCTGTAATGGTTTATTGGTCAACATTGTGTGTGATATGAACCTGTAATGGCTTATTGGCAAACATTGTGTGTGATATTAACCTGTAATGGCTTATTGGTCAACACAGTGTGTGATATGAATCTGTAATGGTTTATTGGTCAACATTGTGTGTGATATGAACCTGTAATGGTTTATTGGTCAACATTGTGTGTGATATGAACCTGTAATGGCTTATTGGCAAACACAATGTGTGATATTAACCTGTAATGGCTTATTGGTCAACACAGTGTGTTATATGAATCTGTAATGGTTTATTGGTCAACATTGTGTGTGATATGAACCTGAAATGGCTTATTGGTCAACATAGTGTGTGATATGAACCTGTAATGGCTTATGCTCAACATAGTGTGTGATATGAACCTGTAATGGCTTATTGGTCAACATAGTGTGTGATATGAACCTGTAATGGCTTATTGGTCAACTTTGTGTGTGATATGAACCTGTAATGGCTAATTGGTCAACATAGTGTGTGATATGAACCTGTAATGGCTTATTGGTCAACACAGTGTGTGATATGAACCTGTAATGTCTTATTGGTCAACATACTGCGAGTTATGAACCTGTAATGGCTGATGCACAATAAAGTGTGTCAGCTGGTCAATATGAAGAGATAGCAACCAGAACCTATTTGTGAACGTGTGTGCTACCAACCTGAGTAGGTTGACGAGTCGTGTGGAGAGCTGACAGGTGAGGACGTTGCCGTGGCTACAAGACACAAACACACGCACATGCTGCACAACACCAAAGGAAACACAAGTACATGTGTTGTGGTTGTTGTTGTTTGTTGTTTTACGCCGCACTCAGCAATATTCCAGCTATATGACGGCGGTCTGATAATAATCGAGTCTGGACCAGAGAATCCAGTGAGTGACATCATGAGCATCGATCCACGCAATTGGGATATGATGACATGCATCAACCAAGTCAGTGAGCCTGACCACCCGATCCCGTTAGTCTCCTCTTACGAGAAGCATAGTCGCCTTTTACGGCAGGCATGGCTTACTGAAGACCTTTTCTACCCCGGATCTTCACAGGTCACAAGTACATCTGACATCAAAAGCACAACATTACATCAAAAAACTATTACTGAAAGGCATATATCTTATAAGGAAACTGAAAAGCGTGTTCACTAAAAAATCAACTTCAACATGTTTTGCATTTACAGGGGTACAAAAACAGAACATAGTGTGCATACAGTGTTAATCTGTGTAGAGGATTTATGATAAAGTGTGCACACCATTTTTTATGTTTATAACTCCATAATCACAAAAACATATTGTAGTCAATACTTATAAATAAATATGTTGTCAATGATAACTTCACATACTGCTAAGTGTATAGCAAAATAACTGAAGCGTGTTGAAAGATTACACTGAAAACGACCTACAAAACATGTTACACAACAACGAAGATTTTCATATGTCACACACATCATTCCTATATATGAAATCTACATGCAAATTGAAAACATATCTATCAGCAATGTCTTGAACGTATCATCAAATATCAAGCCTCACAGTTTTGAACTTTTAGGGGCTCTGGTTGACATATATGACATCAAAAGACCCTTGGTGGTATTCTCTATTCATTCAACACTTACTGTCTGTTCGCCCATCGCTGAAAGCAGGAAACCCACGGGCTTTCTGAAACACAAAGTGCAGCTGTTAAACACTGGTTTCTGTAATACAGAGTGCAGCTGTTAAGCACTGGTTTCTGAAACACAAAGTGCAGCTGTTAAGCACTGGTTTCTGTAATACAGAGAGAAGCTGTTAAACACTGGTTTCTGTAATACAGAGTGCAGCTGTTAAGCACTGGTTTCTGTAATAAAGAGAGAAGCTGTTAAGCACTAGTTTCTGTAATACAGAGTGCAGCTGTTAAGCACTGGTTTCTGTAATACAGAGTGCAGCTGTTAAGCATTGGTTTCTGTAATACAGAGAGAAGCTGTTAAGCACTAGTTTCTGTAATACAGAGTGCAGCCGTTAAGCACTGGTTTCTGAAACACAAAGTGCAGCTGTTAAGCACTAGTTTCTGTAATACAAAGTGCAGCTGTTAAGCACTTGTTTCTGTAATACAGAGAGAAGCTGTTAAGCACTTGTTTCTGTAATACAGAGTGCAACTGTTAAGCACTGGTTTCTGAAACACAAAGTGCAGCTGTTAAGCACTAGTTTCTGTAATACAAAGTGCAGCTGTTAAGCACTTGTTTCTGTAATACAGAGAGAAGCTGTTAAGCACTTGTTTCTGTAATACAGAGTGCAACTGTTAAGCACTGGTTTCTGTAATACAGAGAGAAGCTGTTAAGCACTGGTTTCTGTAATACAAAGTGCAGCTGTTAAGCACTGGTTTCTGTAATACAGAGTACAGCTGTTAAGCACTGGTTTCTGAAACACATAGTGCAGCTGTTAAGCACTTGTTTCTGTAATACAGAGTGCAACTGTTAAGCACTGGTTTCTGAAACACAAAGTGCAGCTGTTAAGCACTAGTTTCTGTAATACAAAGTGCAGCTGTTAAGCACTTGTTTCTGTAATACAGAGAGAAGCTGTTAAGCACTTGTTTCTGTAATACAGAGTGCAACTGTTAAGCACTGGTTTCTGTAATACAGAGAGAAGCTGTTAAGCACTGGTTTCTGTAATACAGAGTACAGCTGTTAAGCACTGGTTTCTGAAACACATAGTGCAGCTGTTAAGCACTGGTTTCTGTAATACAAATTGCAACTGTTAAGCACTGGTTTTTGAAATACAAAGAGCAGCTGTTAAGAACTAGTTTCTGAAATACAAAATGCAGCTGTTAAGCACTGGTTTCTGAAACACATAGTGCAGCTGTTAAGCACTGGTTTCTGAAATACTTAGTGCAGCTGGGTTTTTGGTTTGATACAAGGCGGAAAACCCATCCACTGCTGAAATTAAGGGACTTTTTACTTGAGACAGAGAACAGACTGAAGAAAAAGAATTGCCTGTCCTTAAGTGGTCGCAATATGGCATTTTGTTGACCATGCATAAAACAACATTCACTCACTCACTCAAACCTCTAAACACATGAGGCATGAATCTGTACATGTACGCAAGTGAATGTTGTTAAATATCACAGTCAGCATTATTCCATCTGTCTCAAAGTGGCCTTTAGAGAATCAAACCTGGACTAGACAAACCAGTGATTGACCTTATGAGCAACAATTCAAGCTACCAGTGACTTTGTAACCATCCAAACTGATAGTTTAGCTCTTACACACCGACACTTAATGTACACAGATGCTTTGAACAGTTTTAGCTTACCAAAAACTTACCATGTATCGTATTGTCACATTCAAACCCACGTTCAACTGGTCTATCATTTTCACCCCTAACATAAACCACAAAATGCTGACATTGTTTTAAGGTTTGGAAAGACAATTAATTCATTGTGGCCTTATGTGGCCTGACAAGCTGCGGTAGTGGTAGGTGTACCTCCTTCTGCCGCTCCCGTCGCCGGATCCGGATCCTCTGTTTCAGCTCCTGGATCTCCTCATCCGACTCTTCCTCGATGTCGGAATCCTTCCTGGCGGGGGATATCACATGGTTCCACTTCATCTGCTCTATGGCAGCTATCAAGGCCTCAGAGATACTGAAATGGGCATTTTCCTGAAAGAAATAATCCATTTGAAAGCATTCTTATCACAAATCAAACTAGTTTAAGCTACAAAACAGCCTTGACAGACTTAGATTACTTGAAAGAAGTCCACAAGTGGTTAGGCTCAGTGACTTGGTTGATGCATGTCAAATATTGCCCAAAAAAATTAAAACGTTTTTTCACACGTTTTGTGAAATGTGTAACAAATTCGTTATTATTACTATAACCTCAAATGAATCCTTCTGCCAGCATTTCTGCATATTTAACAAGATCTGAAAATGTGTATAATAAGACAATGAACTGGTCTGTTCTAAATAGTGTATTCAGAGCACATGCCATCTGAAGTTCACACAGCCTTCCAAAATTCACGCTAGTCCGCCAGCACGGGACTACCACTTTGTGTTAAGGACAAGTGAATGAGTGAGTGAGTGCATATTGTTTTACGCCGCTTTTAGCAATATTCCAGCAATATCACGGCAGGGGACACCAGAGTGAGTGAGTGTATATGGTTTTACGCCGCTTTTAGCAATATTGCAGCAATATCACGGCGGGGGACACCAGAAATGAGCTTCACACAATGTACCCATGTCGGGAATCGGACCCTGGTCTTCGGCGTGACGAGCGAACGTTTTAACCACTAGGCTACCCCACCGCCCCGTTAAGGACAAGTAAAAATTCAATTTTGGTAGTCCTTATTGACTAGCAACATTTGAGGGCTACAATTCCAAACCAGTTCTTAATCCTTCAATTTTGCTACAAATTGGAACTGAACAAAACTTACAGAAAATGTAAAAATAGAGAACATTTTCAGGGTCAGAAGTAAGCTCAAAAGCTTTACAAGCCCATATAAAGATAAAATGTCCTTGTAATGTTAAAACAATGGGGAACTCGAGAAATTTGTACTAGCCTGCAGGGATTTGTACTAGCCCCGGGCTTGCGGGCTAGTGTTAAGCTCTAACCCTGATTTTTGTCTTCTCAAGCAGGACTTGCTGCAAACTCTGAGGACTAGAGAAAGAGTGAGTGAGTGAGTTGGGTGTAACGCTGCTTTTAACAGTATTCCAGTTATATCGCAGCGTGTCAGCTTAATGTGGGAAGAAAGCCTGAAGTGATGCAGGTCTCGGATGTTTACCACTTCGGTGGAACCCCCAGACACGGGTAGGGTGTTGACAAACCTAGAAACATAATCGGGGCAAACCAGGATTCCAACCCACAATCATAGGTTTCTGGCGTGCCAAAGGGACTCAACTCTGCACAGCGAATTGCGGGGCCTTAGACGACTGGGCCACCCGTGCCCCCGACTAGTGAAAGAAGGCTTACACCAGTCATAAGGAATGTCCAAGGCTGCCCCACTTACTTTGTCCAGGTTAGCACAAGTGTGGAAGTCCTGAGAGGAGAGGTAACTCATGAGAGACTGACCCTGAGCCGGAGGATGGAGGCGGCCATCAAACCTACCACCTGACGCTGATGCTGAAACACAGAAAATAGTGGAATCATCAACACGGGATTTAACCTCAAGCAGCACCATCATCAAGGGATGAACATACAATCTGCCACACAGCTCATACCAGTACTGTATGAGTGTGTTGTTAAACGCCCCACACTCTCCGACTTAAACAGAAGTCCGAAGCCAGGGTCAAATAAAACTGTGTCTATTTGTTGTTTAATGCCGCACTCAGCAATATTCCAGCTATATGACGACGAACTCTAAATAATCGAGCCTGGACGAGTCAATCCAGTGATTGACATCATGAGCATCAATCTACGCAATTGGGATATGATGACATGCATCAACCAAGTCAGCGACAATCCAGTGATTGATATCATGAGCATCAATCTACTCAACTGGGATACGATGACAACCATCAACCAAGTCAACAAGCCTGACCACCTGATCCCGTCAGTCGCCTCTTACGACAAGCATGGTTGCTGAAGACCTATTCTAACCCACATGGTCACTGCACTGCACAGGTAGCAGTGAGATTCAGAGATTCACAGCGACATGTAATGTACAGCACATGGTTACGTTTACATTGTACGATGACCGAGAAAAATAAGTACAAAAACCTCTTCCAGCAACTTATACATCTTTTACAAATTGCAAATTATCATCTGATATGATTACTATAGAACAATTACAATATTCTTCAGTTAATCAATACTTATTTCATCCGTGAATATGTAACAGAAGTTCAGAAGATATTTTCATGCCTTTAGATATTCCTAAAACACTTAGATTACTTGCTAAATTAGTATTGTTTGTCAGTTTGACAGAAGAAAAGATTGTAGCTTTGTAATGAATCTACATTTCAGTAAGAGATCGTAGAGGTAGACTACTAGACCACTAGATGTTAGTAGTTGTAAGAGAGGTATATGAGTATGGTATCGTTAGTACATTTCTGCATTACCAACAAGCATAGCAGGAGGAATCTACGTCCTAAGTCGGCCATGTACCTAATCCTCACGGGTTAACCATACAGACAGAGATTTGTTGTTTCTTTGTTTCTTGTTTCACGCTGCACTCAGCAATATTCCCGTTATATGACAGCAGTCTGTAAATAATTGAGTCTGGACAAGACAATCCAATGACTGACATCAAGATCATCGATCCATGCAATTTGGATATGATGACATGCATCAACCAAGTCAGCAACCCTGTCAGCCGATCCCGTTAGTCACCTCTTACGACAAGCATGGGTTGCTGAAGACATATTCCACCCCGGTCTTCTATGAAGGGGGTATGATGTCGTAAGAGGCAAACCATAGGAAGAACTTTCATATAGATTTATACATTTGTATATGGGATTCTCACTGATGAATGGTCAGTTGAACAGGGGTCGATTTAACTGCTGGCCCTTTGGCCCATGGCCAGTTAAAATTACAAAGGGCTTGCTGAAACTTAAAGTGGATGGCCTGTCTGGCTTGTCAAAATTTCACCCCTTCTCAGTGTGTGTTTAATATTTTTTCAGTGAACACTGCTCGATAAGGAAATATTGAGGGGGGTTGAGATTATGTGAAAGGATTTGGTTGGTTGGTTTGTTGTTTAACGCCGCACTCAGCAATATTCCAGTTATATGACGGCCGTCTGTAAATAATCGAGTCTGGACCAGACAATCCAGTGATTGACATCATGAGCATCGAACCATGCAATTGGGATCGATGACATGCATCAACCAAGTCAGCGAGCCTGACCACCCGATCCCATTAGTCGCCTTTTACGACAAGCATAGTCATCTTTTACGACAAGCATGGGTTGCTGAAGACAATTTCTACCCCGGAATCTTCATTGGTCTTGTGTGAAAGGAAACTCAAAGAAAGATATCTGTCGATCATCATGTAGAATGACAACCGGATGCCATTTTGTAATGGGGACAACAGCATCTTTATTTGCTCATTCGAAATGAAAGCCAAGACTTAACCTCAAAGTGCAGGAAATGGCATTTTAGCGGTGAGGAGTCAAAATTTCAGAGCCCTGAAAGGTGGCTACACAAACTCAGGTCCGGCCACTTTGTGGACTTCACCATTTAGTTGGAGGTCAGTTAGTCAGGAGAAGGGCCAGTAACTTTTGAAAGGAGCCAGCCCTACTGGCTACATACAAATTTGTTGCTAAATCAAACCCTGTTGAAACAAGATGATGTCACATTGTGCCATTGTTGAGAACAATACACTATGACACAATCCACAATTTCACACAAAGTCTAACTTCAGTGAAGCTTCTCTTTGGAATTGACATGTAATACATGTAACATGTTCTTACTTGAGTGAGTTTGCTTTTACGCAGCTTTTAGCACTATTCCAGCAATATCAAGGCGGGGGACACCAGAAATGGGCTTGTACCCATGTCGGGAATCGAACCCGGGTCTTCAGCGTGACGAGCAAACGCTGTAATCACTAGGCCACCCGACCGCCCTGTTCTTACTTGAAATGACAATGTATGTTATATATAGAGGCTAACTTACGTATTTCTATATTATTATATGGGTGTTTTCAAATTGACCTTGTTATATGTCCAAGGTCAGTCATATTGGCTCGAGGCAGGCTGTATTGCCATAACAAGCACCCTTATTGCTAAGAACATTGATAAAAGGACGTTGCTTACACAAATTTATTGTTAATCAACGAGCGGTAGTGGACAAACTAAAATTTGTTTGATAACAATTACTGGGCTATCATATTCCCTTTCTTCACTTTTGTAATATACACAAGACACTATAGATGGTGATGTAACAGTTTGGTATCAGTAGGGGGTGCTTACAAATTGGTCTTGAAGTTGGTCATAGGATCAATCTCATTAAAATCAGATGTAAGTTCTCGCTGCCGCTAAAAATAGATCTGAGGACATCCTATTACGTCACGTCAGAACGACCGTTCGTGAACTTTGACCGACCACTGAAATGACTAACAAGAAGTCGACATCAGCCAATTAGAAAGAAGCTTTCTTGAGCTTTACGGCACTCATGTCAACCTGGCGACTTCCATTTCAGACTACACTTGAAAAATATGTTGACACAGTTCTCGATTAAAATTTTGAAAACTGAACAAACAAAGAGTCAAATATATGGTTGAGATTGTGTGGCAGTGCTTCCCACGTACTGTGCAACGCCTCTTCCATTCAAATGTTTATCCCACGGATGTGAGAGACAGATGATAATTTTGACGGAATCAGTCGTAGGGGCCGTAAATGTTGTTCAGAATACCCCGTTTTCAAGGTTGCATGATTAGAAAACACATTCCGACTGTCACTATCATGATCTGTTAGGATGCGTTCTGACGTGACCTGTAATGGGATGTCCTCAGATCTTTGCTTAGCAATCTAAGATCTGATTTCAATGAGATTGGTCATAGGATCTTATTGGAGCAGGGCACTTAATACGGCAAATACAGTCCATGTTCCTCTCCAAAGGCTTGGTGCTTACACCTGTCACCCAAGAAGGCGACGGGGTAGCCTACTGGATACAGTGTTGGTTCTTCATACTGAGTGAGTGAGTGAGTGAGTTGGGTTTAACGCGGCTTTTAACAGTATTCCAGTTATATCGCGGCGTGTCAGCTTAATGTGGGAGGAAAGCCCGAAGTGATGCAGGTCTCAGACGTTTACCACTTCGGTGAAACCCACGAGCACGAGTATGGTGCTGACAAACCTAGAAACATAATTGGGGCGAACCGGGATTCGAACCCACAATCATAGGTTTCTGGCGTGCTCAAGGGACGCAACTCTGCACAGCAAATTGCAGCACCGTTGACGACGGGGCCACCCATGCCCCCTCTTTATACTGAAGACCTGGGTGTAGTTACCTACACAAGTACAATGAGCGAAGCCCATTTCTTGGGTCCTATGCTGTCATTTGACAGAAAAGTTGCTATAAAGTCACTTACACTGGACAGACAAAGCGTTTAAACTGTAACTTCCATTAACCCCACCTAGCAGGGATTGAGAACATGGATGTACCGTAAGTCCCATCATTAAGGCACTCCAAGACTCCTACTGACACGAAGGAGCCTAAACATTCCCTTTGATGCTCAACATTAATATGGGGTGCGGGGTAGCCTTGTGGTTAAAGCAATCGTCTTCACGCCGACAACCCAGGTTCAAATCCCCACATGGGCATAACATTTGAAGACCATTTCTGCGTCCCCAACTTGATATTGCTGGAACATTGCTAAAAGAGGTGTAAAATCATACTCACTTACACATATAAATATGAGCCATATCATCTCTTGAAACAATGAATAAATTATGAAAAAACATGAAAATCACTTTTTGGAGAATTGGTAGAATTTGTCAAATCGTCAATTGTCAAAGACTGGATGCCCAATGATCACAATTCAGTGTTTCTATAGGGGCCACGGGTGTTACAAATGTGGGTTAACCACAAGTGAAGCATCCACGTTTAGTATGATTAATTATCATCATCAACACCAGATTCACATACGGGACAACTGAAGGTGACATTTAGCAGCTGTCAGTATCCTTTGTTCACAGCACCACAATCATAATTATCCTCTTGTTAAAGAAAATGGTTGCAGAAAGTGGCCTCAAATGCTCAAAGCATCCATTACATGTCTATACTGTGAATCACTCTTTACTTACCAGAAAAGCATTTGAATACAGTTGCATATATCCCTCTTAAGCATGCAGACATATTAACATAGCCAATCGAAATGCTGCTTGGCAAAGCAACTGGGAATGTAGCACTGCTATATCTAGTAATAAGACCATCAAAATATGTCTATAATTATGTATCAAATACACCTAAATTTCACCAGGCTAAATCACACATCACTGAGTACAGAGAAGCAATAAGGTATGCAGCATTCAGACTCAATATTAAGGCAACTGGCCCTAAACATGAGTATTTAGCCTTGCCACCACGTGTGACAGTTCTCTGACAACAGCTGTTCTGCTCAGAGTGTTGTGTGGAAGGCAGTTGTGAGATTAGGATTACACGGCCATTATCAGATTGATTATCATG